CTGTGACCTCTGCGATGTCGTGACTACCGCCCATCAAAGCGGACATAGCTGTTAAGCCTACCAATGACTGTCGACCACGAGGCCTCAGCGACCCCACAAGGTCTGTGGCATTGCCGTGATCTGTCAGCAAACGAAAGTTCCCGCCTCCGCTACGTTCCCGAGACGCCCATGGGGGCTGGGGTTCCTGGTTACTGTAGCGGAGCGAACGGTACAAACCGTAACGCATAACGCACCCCCTCACCGGTTTGTAATTCCGGTCTTCTTGTCACGCTTCATGGCTTTTCAAGGGTCTGAAGGGAGCATAAGCCAGTTTTTATAGGCAGTATGACTATTTCTCTGGCCTTTTCATTGCTTTCAAGCCTTCAGCAAGGGCTGTAGTTGCAGATAGGATTGTCAGAAGCACCTGATTAGCCAATATTTCCCCCCACAAACTAACATGTCACGCATAACCCCAGGCCGGTTTGTAGCATGGAGGGCAAGTTAACTGTCACGCCTCCCTGGCCGGTTTGTACCGTTCACTCCGCTACAGTAGTAACACAAGCCTGGCGCCTGGCGCACTGACTCCTCCACGTTGGTCCCTCAAGTCGCTGGCCCTTTTTTCGTGTCGTTCCTGGCGCCGGGAAATAGCTGCGGCAGCGTGTACGTGTTATGGCAGGTGTGCCGATATCGCTGGGCGGTAACCGCAGCTTTTTTCTTGGTAAAACCTCGCTAAACCTGGCCAAATAAGGACCATATTTTTTGATTTTCGCATCGAGACAGATTCGGCGAAACCAGGGCCAAAACTGGCGATGAAATTGGCAGAAAGCGAAGTTTGTAATCCAATTTTCTCGGGTAAGAATCTGAGAATATTTAGTTCTTGTTCTACCAGTCTTTTGGCTGATTTGGCAGAAACAAAAGCTGCACTTAGTAACTTACTACCTAGTGCATGTTCGGCAGTCTCTTAACACGCAGACGCACGGACTCTACGCCCACCAATCCCCGGTCCGGGCGGAGGAGCAGCGCAGAACGGTCACCGCGTGGAGTCACCAAATATTTGGCTGGCACACCACCCCACCGTGCTCAGTCAGCCGAGCCCTTGCGCAAGCCATCAAAAGCCGTCTGCACTCGGACGCGGCACATCGACTCTTCTTCGCCTTCTTACTGCGCTCATTTCGCAAAATCTTTATAAGCATCGGAAGATGAACGCGAGTTCCCATAGTTTCCTTCGTGCCTCCACCCGCACCTCCATGGCTCTCGCGCTGATGCGAGATGCCTTCATAGGCGATGTCCTCTACCATGTATCGCGCCACCGTCTCTTCCAGCACCCGGAGGACCGCCCGGGCTTCACCATCCCTACGCCACGAAGATCTGTCAAAAGCACGAGGAGTGGATTGTCTTCCCGTTCGAATCTCGAAATAACTACCGTCGCCGAACCGGAACGACTTGACGACGAAGAGTCCCAGTTACCTCGCGTCGACTCTGACCTGATTACAATAGTTGTGCCTGAATCCTCAGAACAGCAGAGGCCGGCGCGGCAAAACGTTGTGGAGGTCGAAGAAGGTGATCTCGCGAAGGAAAAGGAAAAGGCGTCGGTATTGCAAGAAATTACTGAATCTCGCATAGTAGAGTGGTACGGATCAGACGACCTAGAGAACCCTCAGAACGTATGTTCCAGCCTCTCTATACCTGTCTTCTATTTTTGACGTACGCCCAGTGGTCCATCGCCAAAAAAATACTTCATTACTTTCCAAATCTGCCTGCTCACCCTCAGCGTGTACATCGGCTCCGCGATCTACTCTCCAGGCATCGACGAGATCGCCGCCCAGTTTGGCGTCTCACCCGTCGCCGCGACGCTCGGCCTCACGCTCTTCGTCGTCGGTTACGGCATCGGCCCGATGTTCCTCAGCCCGCTCTCGGAGCTGCCGCAGATCGGGCGCACGACGGTCTACATTTCGTCGCTCGCGCTCTTCGTCATGCTTCGGGTGCCGACGGCGCTCGCGAAGAATCTTGGCGCGCTGCTCCCGTTGCGCTTCCTCGCCCGCGCTCGCGACCGGCGGGGCAACCCTCAATGACATGTGGGCACCCGGGCACCGCGCGGCTGTCATCGGCCTCTGGGGCGTCGCGGGCATCAGCGGGCCCGTGCTCGGGCCACTGCTCGGTGGCTTCGCGACGCAGGGCGAGGACTGGACGTGGACGATCTGGATCTTGCTCTGGATGAGCGGCGTGACGCTCGTCTTCCTGACGCTCTTCCTTCCGGAGACGTCGGCCGATGCGTGAGTGCTGTCCGTGCCGTCTGTGCTCAGAGCAATATAGCTGACCGTGGCATGTTTGTAGGCTGCTGTACCGCCGTGCGACACGCCTCCGCCGCATCACTGGAGATAACCGGTTCAAATCCGAGGGCGAGATCGAGGTGGAGCATATGACGGTCGGGGATATCGCGATGATGCATCTCGTGCGGCCGTTCATCCTGATGTTCGTCGAGCCGATCGTCGCCTTCTGGAACATCTACATTGCCCTAGTCTATGGCATCCTCTACATCTTCATCGAGTCATTCAGGGTCGTCTTCGTCGAGGAACACGGCTTCAATCTTGGAGAGAACGGGCTGGCATTCCTCGTAAGCGTCCCATCGCATCAAATGAAATGCGGTCAGCTCATTGAGCCCTTCGCAGGGCATATTCGTCGGCACAGTTCTTACATACGTCGTCTTCGCCCCCTACACTCTCAGGGTCCTGAAACCCAAGTTCGTCGACAACAGTACGCACTGTACACGGCCTTTATGTGCCCAAACCTTACTCACCGTCCCGCAGCCTTCGTCCCAGAGATGCGCCTGCCCATCGCCATCGTCGGCTCGGTGTTGCTCCCTATATCCATGTTCTGGTTCGGCTGGACGAGCTCCGCAAGCGTGCACTGGATCGTGCCGATCATCGCCTCCGCGTTCTTCTCTGCGGGGACGTACATGCTCTTCCAGGCGGGCCTGAACTACCTCGCGAACTGCTACCCGCGCTACGTCGCGTCGGTGCTCGCGGGGAACGACTTCTTCCGGTCGATGATCGGAGCAGCGTTCCCGCTGTTCAGCACTGCATTCTTCCACAACCTCGGCGTCGGCCCCGCGTGCAGCCTCCTCGGCGGCGTCGCAGTGATGATGCTACCGATCCCGTGGATATTGTGAGTGGCGGGGCGGGCGTTTTTGGGAAGCACGCGTGCTGACCTGCTTTGGTAGGTATCGCTATGGTGCGCGCATTCGCTCGTGGAGCAAGTACGCCGACTAGATGTCTCTGATGACGGCTGGCCACCTTGCATTATTTTCACCTTTGCACAGTTACCACTGCACTCTACGAAACTCTCACATCATGATCCGCATGACTCGCTCGCTATCCTCACATGGGCACCACTAAATCGACACTGAGGTCTCCACACCTACTAGACTTAATTATACCAATTTTTTGTCTTCAGGGGCTCGTAGTTGCACCCAATTATGCCACGTAGTAAAACATCAATTATAATAGATGGGACTGTCTCATTTCCGACTCCAAAAACGAGCGAGGTTATGGCCCCACGAGGTGACATCCAGTTTCAAGTTCACGTTACCATTAATGCCGCACTGCTGGGGTGCCACCCCGTCGTATATCGTGTCCGATGCTATAGGTAACGATGGCGCGTTTACGTGTCAAGGCCTTCAGAGCGGGGCGGCGCGCCTGAGCCAACTTGATGGATCATTCACGCCGAGACACCTGAGCCTGTCATTTTGGTGCAATAATTGAGACAAAAGAGACTGTATCGTGCCGTAGAAGCGACAAGATGGCGCAAATATGCGCGAGATGTCGTATGTCATACTGTTCTCTGCGTGACTGTTACTTGGAAAGAAAATTATAGGTTCGATTGTTGAGTCTCATGCAACAAGGAAAACGAACTCAAGCGTGACGCAACGAGATTCGCTACGCGCCGCAATTCAAATAGTATGCCTTGAATCCAAGGACTCTTACATGCTTACTGTGCTCAGCCGGTTTCTTACGACGTCCGAATTGCTACGCTGCTGTTGCATTTGCATCACGAACATATACTGTACCTTTTCGACCTGAATGGCGGTGGGTGTGACTGAGCGTGTACAGCCGTAGCGGCGACAGCGGCGGAGGCCTCGATGACTTGTGAGTGATAGCCACCGCGAAGCGATGGCGGCCGGTTATTATTTTTTTTGAGGTTCCCCACGGGCGCGCCGCAGGCCCGGGCCCAAACATTTTGGCCTACCCATCATTGTCACACACCGGCGAGCCCCTCTGTAATCCGTGACAGAAGCCTCCAAGCGGCAGATTTGAGGCCCTGTGACCTGTGACCGCCGTTCAGGTCGAAAATCTACAGTAATGCTTATTGGACAAGATACACAACTACGACTGCATACAGAGTATCGAAGAAGTACTCCGAGTAAGCAAAAAGTACGGCTGCATTCAATTTGTGGGCAAAATGTTTTTGCGAAGTGTCCGGGTCTAGTAACGAGCGAAGTTCAAAGAGCAAAGACTTGGAGAGATGACAGCGACGCACAGGTACAAGTAAAAATGCAATAAATTACCAAGATCGGAATGTCTTTCGGGCTAATCGTATCGATCATACACGGGCGGAAGCGTGCTCGCACTGATAGAGTACTCTGTATCCGCGTCAGTGCTGATGGTCGTTGGCGTAGGACTGGCACTCCGTTGTACGCCGTTCCCATTCATCTACGCCCCGCCATCGACGGCACACCTCCTGCGAGAGCGAGAGCGGGTGCGTGCGCGCGGCCTCCACATGGGCGCCGGGTCTTCAGCAAGCATCTGTGCCAGTGCCTGTTGCCGCATCTGCTCTGCGTCGGGCGGCGGTGAGACGTTGATGGTCGCGCGGTCATCGTCATCTGTAGCCACGAAGGACGAGTTCGTGGGCATACCTGCCACAAAGGGCCCGGGGACGTTCATGAGCGTGCCTGCCACAGTGCTAGTGGACAGTGTCGATGTCTCAGGATTGCGCTCGCCTGGGCTGATCGTTGGCGAGGCCTGCATCGAAGGCTGACTGACATTCTCTGTGGGAGTATTGACGTAGAGCAGTTGCACGGCGGACGTTTCTAATCGCGAGCGGAAAGATGTGAAGAGGATGTTGATGCTGTCTGAGTACAGACGCACCTGCTGAGGCCTTCGCGCACCCCTTGTTCAAACCTTTTCTAAGAGCCTTTCTAACCAGCATCATCACTGCAGGGGAAATCGTAACACCAGCGACGCTAGCGATGAGGATGATCCATGTCAGGTTCAGCTTGGACGGTGGCGCGAATGCCACTAAGGTCGACGTATTTTTGGGCGGCGTGCTTGGGATGAGAGTTACCGAGACCCCGCTAGCCAGAGATGGAGCAGCTACCACGGTATTGGACGTCTGCTATAGGTATTGTAGACATGCATCCCAGTGAGGATCAAAAGTAGGCTGCTATGAGCGTGGCACTCACACCGATTGCCAATATAAGCCCAGTCTATGCTCAAATCTTGAGTCATCTCGTCAATTTTATACCGAACAACATCTACGTACAGCTGTCAGCGATTCGTCCTCAGCGAGCTCCCCGGGGACAGTGGTGAGGATTGTGGCGGCCATAGCAGCCGAGCGAAAAAAAAAGAAGTCAAAGGAAGGGCGGACGCGAAGACACGCTTCACCGGTACCACTGCCTGAGCAGTTATACAAACTGAGTTCGATCCCACAACTGACCGTTTCCCTAACGCGACATCTCATGTTATGTGTATCTGTTGATAGAGAAGGTTTGCGCCTGCCAACGGTGGTACAGCAACAAGATGCTGGGCACGCTGGGAGCTTGCATGATCTGTTTCTGGCGCTCCGAAGTACATAATAGGGCAGGGGAGATACTAGTTTGAAAGATATCGATGCACAAACAGATCGCGAACAGTCGACGCACCTGTTTGCGTCGTTAAAGGAATCCTGAAGCGCGAACGTGAGTAGAACTAGTGTTGGACGTAAAGGTGAGATCACTGGACCAGAAATGCGATGACGAAAGTAAGCAGCAATAAGATGCATAGGCCGGCATGTTACACCGATTAAGGTTTGCAGCCAGGGATATAAGATCAGGATGCACCGTATGATGAGCTGCCATAGGAGTCGGCGCGCTGTGTGCGACACGCAAGACGAGCACAACCATCGTTTTGCACGCAACTGTCCAGGCATTAGGGGGGTGAATCCAGCGCTGAGTGGAATAGCAGTATAGTGCAATAACGGGAAAGGCCATATTCTGCGCCTGAGCCACAGGAGAAAATTCGCTCTTGGGTAATTGATTAGGCGCACGGATCACTGGTGGAACTGATCCGCTGTGATACGTGATTGCCGCGTCATGCCGCATTGGTTACACCGCCTGCCTGCTGCTGTTCAACCAACCTTCGATTATATGTAGCTGCAGACAAGGGGCTGTGTTTAACGTGTCACGATTCATTCTAAAACGCGTGTAAGGCGGATCCGCTCATTCCAAGACTCCTTGACTGACTCTCATCATGAAGCTGTCGCTGATGTCCCTCGTGAACAAGCTCAGAAGACCATCTCCTCACAAAGCTCATAGCGCGAATGAGGCACATACGAAAGAGTCCTTGACCATCGTGTCACACGAGAGCCGTACGATGGCGTTGGCTCGTGCCGCTGCAGTAATGACTGCCCCCTCGAAGCCGCTTCCACCTGTCGTCGCGGTACCCATTCCCAAGATTGTGAAGCCCGTGACTCCTGCAGAGCAGTACTGGGCTGCGCGAGCTCTTACTGCGGAAGCTATTCTGTCTGTGAAGACGCAGCACCACGAGGAGATTAAGATGTTGGCTGTCGTGGAGGAGACGAAACGCACCGTGAGTCTGTCTTCCGTCGCTGCGTGTCCTCCAATGTGTGACACAGAGTTCATCAGCAAGAAGTAGCACAAGTGAATCAGATGCATGAGTCAAGGCAAAGAAGATTGGAGGCCATAGCAGTAGGCTTTCGCTTCGTGGACATGCCCGACCAACCTGATTGCCTTCATAGATCGCATTGCTCACGGCGCTCGTCGGCCTTGTCGCTTTCCTACTGTACACACTTCAGGCAAATCATTCTCCCGCGCGACAATCTCGCAGTGTGCACTTCACCATCCCTATCCTGTCGCCGTTCGCCTCAGTGGTACGCTGGTTATATTCTCTGCTACTCCATCGGTTGACGAACATACGCGCCAGGTCGAACATGAATCGTCGGTAATTGGGACGAAGATATTGACTGTCATTATTTTGACAGCTACCGTGGTAGCGTACGGCTGCTTCCGCTTCTGGATGGCGCACCGTCTAGGTCGCTAATCTCGTGGCTTGGGACTGGGCTCGGGTGAGCAGTTTGCTGTACGGGCCATACAGGTTCAACATAATCGATTTCCAGAGCAGCTCTCGTCGCATTCAAGATTCCACCTTAGCAGCAGCGGGCGAATAAGCATACTGCTCGCGGAATCATCGTTTGCTGCTTGCAGTGCCCGGTTGCGACCTCGGCCCTTCTCCCATCTGCTATCGTGCCATCTGGGGCCTCATTCTAAGCTTGGCGTATGCCCGCTTTGTTGCATTTATGGTCGTAGACCGGACATTTTGCGCGCCAGTCGGACCCGGCTGCACTTCACTTTCATTCCAGCTCTGGCCACTTGCAAACCCTTCCACTCTCTCAACTCCCACTATTATTCGTCTGGATTTGGATATACCCCGAAACAGTGACTAATGAACTGCTGACTGGCGAGTCAGGTAATAAATCATGTCGCAGGTTACGCCCGGCAAGGCAGATGGAGCCGACTCTCAGATGTTCTTGACCACACTCATCCTCAACGCCAGTATCCTCGCGCTCTTCTATTGTTCCCACCCCTTCCCTGGCGCTCTGAAAGTTGACGCAACAAGCTGTCCCAAAAATCTCTGACAGCAAGGCATTGCCGTATGTGATGTATTCCATACGCACCCGATGTGGGATAGCGGATCCAATCTTAACACGGTCCCAGCCCGTGGCATCATCTCCCATCTCATCTGATCAATATGGTCAGGACATGAGAGGAGTACATTGCCGTCCCAGCCCGGAATGTGGCACAGCCCCTTCACTCGCGCGTCAACTCGTCCGTAATGCGTGTCAGCATTAACGTCGCCGTACAGGAGAAACAGTGAGCACCGGCATCGTGACGAAGAGCATACGCGTACCTCGTCTAGATGGCATAAGGTTCGTTCGGGATGTATTTTCCGAGACGGCATGTGAATTTACTTATAGATGGAGTACATTCTCAGGAGCATAACTCAAGCTTTTCAGGAGGGGGATGAAGAGAGCGGGGCGAGAGGGGCGGAAACTACCAAGCAACCGTAGATGTAGAGGCGGGCCTATCTCTGGTTCGCTCTCTAAGTCTCAGATGGTGAGTTGTGGGCTCCGATAGTAAACATATATCACACGCCAAAATATCTTTAGAAGCGGTCTAGTGTGTCTTCTATGGCTGTGACCTCTGCGACGTCGTGACTACCGTTCATTAAAAGCGGACATACTACTGTTAAGCCTACCAATGACCGTCGACCACGAGGCCTCAGCGACCTGCCGAGACGCCCGTGGGGCTGGTAACATAAGCTTGGCGCCTAGCGCACTGACTCCTCCGCGTCGGTCCCTTAAGCTGCTGGCGCTTCCTTGCAGCATTGCAGGCGCCAGGAGACGGCGTGTACGTGTTATGGCAGGGTAACCGCAGCTTTTTCCTTGGTAAAATCTCACTAAACCTGATCAAATTAGGACCACTTTTTTCTCGGCTTTCGTAACGAGACAGATTGAACGAAACGAAGTCCAAAACCAACAACGAAACTGGGAGAAAGTGAGGGTTCCGCTCCAATCTCCTGGGCAAAAACCTGAGAAATTTGGTCCTTGTTCGAGCAATCTTTTGGCCAATTTGGAAAGGACAAAAGCTAACGCTTGGTAACTTACTACCCAGTGCATGTTCGACCGTCTCTTAATGTACAGACCCATGGGCCCTACACCCACCAATCCCCCGGCTGGGCGGAGGAGCAGCACAGAACGGTCACCGCGTGGGATCACCGAATATTCGGCTGGGGACATCACCCCACCGTGCCGAGCACTTGCGCAAGCCATCAAGAACGATCCGCACTCGGACGCGGCCTCTCGACTCATGTTACCTTGCTTACCGCGCTCATTTCCTGAACCCTTTATAAGCGTCAGAAGATGAAGGCGAGCTCCTGTCGTTTCCTTCACAATCTCACTCGCAACTCTCAATGGTTCCTGCCCTAATACGCGATGCCTTCGTAGGCGACGTCCTCTACCATCTATCGCGTCACCGTCTCTTTCAGCATCGGGAGGACCGCCAGGACTTCACCATCCCTACGCCACCAAGATCCGTTGGAAGCATTAAGAGCGGATCTTCTTCCCGTTCAATCCTCGAAATAACTACCGTCGCCGAGCCAGAACGACCTGTCGATGAAGAATCTCAACTTCCTCGCGTCGACTCCGAACAGGTTACGATAGCCATATGCGAACCCTCAGAAGAGCAAAGACCAGCGCGGCAGAAAATTTTGGAGGTCGAAGAAGGTGATCTCGCGAAGCAAAAGGAAAAGGCGCCAGTATTGCAAGAAATCACTGAATCTCGCATAGTAGAGTGGTACGGACCAAACGACCCAGAGGACCCTCAGAATGTATGTTTTGCCCTCCCTACGCCCGCTCTGTATTTTTAATGGAGGCCTAGTGGTCCATCGTCAAAAAATCCTTCATCACCTTCCAAATCTGCCTGCTCACCTTCAGCGTGTACATCGGCTCCGCGATCTACTCTCCAGGCATTGGCGGAATTTCAGACCAGTTCGGAGTCTCGTCAGTCGCCGCAACACTTGGCCTCACGCTCTTCGTCGTCGGCTACGGCGTCGGTCCAATGTTCCTCAGCCCGCTCTCGGAGCTGCCGCAGATCGGGCGCACGACAGTCTATATCCTCTCGCTTGCACTCTTCGTCGTGCTCCAGGTGCCAACGGCGCTCGCGAAGAACCTCGGCGCGTTGCTCCCGCTGCGCTTTGTCGCCGGCTTCGCCGGCTCGCCCGCCCTCGCGACCGGCGGCGCGAGCCTCAGCGACATATGGGCACCCGAGTACCGTGCCGTCGTCATTGGCCTCTGGAGCGTCGCCGGTGTTGGTGGACCCGTACTTGGACCGCTCGTTGGCGGCTTCGCGACGCAGGGCGAAGACTGGACGTGGACGATCTGGATCTTGCTCTGGATGAGCGGCGCGACGCTCATTTTTCTGATGCTTTTCCTCCCGGAGACATCTGCCTCGGCGTGAGTGTCTGCGCTGTCTGAGCTTAGAGCAAAGCAACTGATTGTTATGTGTTCGTAGATTGCTGTACCGCCGTGCGGCACGCCTTCGCCGCATCACCGGAAACAAGCGGCTCAAGTCCGAGGGCGAGATCGAGGTGGAGCATATGACGGTCGGCGACATTGCGATGATGCACCTCGTGCGGCCGTTCATCCTGATGTTTATCGAGCCGATCGTTGCGTTCTGGAACATCTACGTTGCCCTCGTCTACGGCATCCTCTACATCTTCATCGAGTCGTTCAGGGTCGTCTTTGTTGAGACGCACGGCTTCAATCTTGGGGAGAACGGGCTGGCGTTCCTCGTAAGTGTTTCGCTGCACCAAGAGTAGTGTGATTGGTTTGTTGAACCGTCCGCAGGGCATATTCGTCGGCTCGGCCCTTACATACGCCGTCTACGCCCCCTACGCTCTGAGGGTCCTGAAGCCCCACTTTGTCAACAACAGTACGTACTGCGCACTCTCTTTGTGCGTCTAGTCTTGCTGATTGCCTCTAGCATTCGTCCCAGAGATGCGCCTGCCCATCGCCATCGTCGGCTCGGTGCTGCTCCCCATATCCATGTTCTGGTTTGGCTGGACGAGCGACGCGATTGTGCACTGGAGCGTGCCGATCGTCGCCTCCGCGCTCTTCGCCGCAGGGACGTACATGCTATTCCAAGCTGGCGTGAACTACCTCGCGGACTGCTACCCGCGCTACGTCGCGTCTGTGCTCGCGGGGAACGACTTCTTCCGGTCGATGGTCGGCGCCGCGTTCCCGCTGTTCAGCACCGTGTTTTTCCACAACCTCGGCGTTGGTCCCGCGTGCAGCCTCCTTGGTGGTGTCGCGGTACTGATGCTGCCGATCCCGTGGATTTTGTGAGTGGCGGGGCGGGCTTTTTTGCGAGATACACGTGCTGACCTGCTTTGGTAGGTATCGCTATGGCGCGCGCATTCGCTCGTGGAGCAAGTACGCCGATTAGATATCTCTGATGACGGCCGGCTATCTTGCATTATTTTTACCTTTGCACACCTACCACTGCGCTCTATGAAACTCTCACATCATGATCCGCATGACTCACGCGCTATCCTCACGTAGACACCACTATATCGACACTGAGGTCTTCACGCCTACTAGACTTAATTATACCAATTTTTTGTCTTCAGAGGCTCGTAGTTGCACCCAATTATGCTATGTAGTAAAACGTCAATTATAATGGCTGGGACCGTCTCAGTTTCGACTCCAAAAACGAGTGAGGTTATTGTCCCACGATTTCCAGTTTCAAGTTCACGTTACCATTAATGCCGCACTGCTGGGGTGCCACCCCGTCGTATACCTTGTCTGACTGCTACTGTCTAGGCAACGACGGCGGTAGTGTGGAACTTAGAAGTTTCGAGCAGCGGTGCGCGTACGTGTCAAGGCCTTCAGAGCGGGGGCGGCGCGCCTGAGCCAACTTGGTAGATCGTTCGCGCTGAGACGCCTGAGTCTGTCATCTTGGTGCGGTGATTGAGACGAAGGAGACGGTGTCGTGCCGTAGAAATTGAAGCGACAAGATGGCATGAATATGTGTGAGATTTCTTATGTCATGTTTGTCTCTGCGTGACTGCCACTTCAAGTTGGAGAGAAATTATAGGTTCGATTGTTTCTCATGCAACAAGGAAGACGAACTCAAGCATGACGCAACGAGATTCGTTATGCACCTCAAATCAACGAGTACGCTCTGAACTTGAATGCGAAGACAGATCTCGCATGCTTACTGTGACCAACGGTTTCCTACGACGTCCGAATCGCTGCGCTGCTGTCGCATCTGCGTCATGAACATGTAAATGCTTATTGAACAAAATACATAACTACGACCGCATACAGTGTATCGAAGAGGTATTCCGAGTAAACTAAAAGTACGGCTGCAGTTAATTTGTGGGCAAAATGTTTTTGCGAAGTGTCCGGGTCTAGTAACGAGCGAAGTTCAAAGAGCGATGACTCGGAGAGATGACAGCGAAGCACAGGTACAAGTAAATACGTGATAAATTACCAAGATCAGAATGTCTTTCTGGCTAATCGTATCGATCATACGCAGGCGGAAGCGTGCTCGCACTGATAGAGTACTCTGTATCCGCGTCAGTGCTGATGGTCGTTGGCGTAGGACTGGCATTCCGTTGTACGCCGTTCCCATTCATCTCCGCTCCGCCATCGACGGCACGCCTTCTGCGAGAGCGAGAGCGGGTGCGTGCGCGCGGCCTCCACATGGGCGCCGGGTCTTCAGCAAGCATCTGTGCCAGTGCCTGTTGCCGCATCTGCTCTGCGTCGGGCAGCGGCGAGACATTGATAACCGTGCGGCCGTCGTCCTCGAGCTTCGGACTCGCATCGGAGAACTCGGGGACCACCGTTGACCCTCGATGCGAGAGGTTTTCCATGTCTGTAGTCACGAAGGGGGAGTTCGTGAGTTTGCCTGCCACAGCGGATAGTGTCGACGTCTCAAAATTGCGCTCGCCCGGGCTGATTGCCAGCGACCCCTGCCTCGAGAGCTGGCTTACATGCGTTGTGGTAGCATTGACGTGGAGCAGTTGCGCGGCGGGCGTTTCTAGTCGCAAGCGAAAAGATGTGAAGAAGATGTTGATGCCACTATCTGAATACAGACGCACCTGCTGAGTCCTTCACGCGCCGCCTGTTCAAAGCCTTTCTGACCAGCATCGTTACTGCAAGGAACACCGCAACACCAACTACGCTAGCAATGGAAGCGATCAATGTTGAGTTCAGCTTGGACGGTGGCGCGAGTGCTACTGAGTGCGGTGTATTTTGGGGCGGTGTGCTTGAGCTGAGAGTTATCGGGATCCCGTTGGCTAGAGGTAGAGCTAGAGTAGTTGCTGTCTGCTATAGGTTTCATAGATATGCACCCCAGTGAGGACCAAAAGTAGGCCGCTATGAGTGTGGTACTCACACCGGTTGCCAATATGAGCCCAGTCTACGCTCAACATCCTGAGTTGTCTCTTCAACTTCATACTGAACGACATCTACTTACAGCTGTCGGCGGCGACCCGCCAATAGTAAGGATTGTGGTGGTTGTGACAAGTGTGGTGGCCATAGCCGAGCAAAAAGTCAAAATTACAGAGTCAAAGAGAGGGCAGACACGAAGACACGCTCTCCCTCGCCGTCTTAGCAGTTAAACAAATCGAGTTCGTTTCCACCCCCTGTTACGTGCATCTGCTGATAGAGAAGGTTTGCGCCTAACAACGATGATACGGCAACAAGATGCTGGGCATGCTGGGAAGCTTGCATGGTCTGTTTTAAGTTCTGGGGCTCCGAGGTGCATGATAGGGCAAGGGAGATACCAGTTCGAAAGATATTGATGTGGCATGAACAGATTGCGAATAGTCGGCGCACCCGTTTGCGTCGTTAAAGGAATCCTGAAGCGCGAACGTGAGTAGAACTAGTGTTGGATGTAAAGGTGAGATCATTGGACCAGAAATACGATGACGAAAGCAAGCAGCAATAAGATGCATGGGCCGGCATGTTACACCGATTAAGGTTCGCAGCCAGGGATATAAGATCAGGATGCACCGTATGATGAGCTGTCATAGGAGTCGGCGCGCTGTGTGCGACACGCAAGACGAGCACAACCATCGTTTTGCACGCAACTGTCCAGGCATTAGGGGGGTGAAGCCAGCGCTGAGTGGAATAGCAGTATAGTGCAATAACGGGAAAGGCCATATTACACGGGGCTAATTAGTAAATATTTTTAGCTGACAGAGGTACGAAAATGACCGTAAGAAAAGAAGCTAAAAAGCCTGAACACTTTCCGGTGAAAATATATGATAGGTAAAATTTGAAAATAAGAGTAAAATAAAGTCGCCTTTTTTAGTCAATCTTGTTGTAAAAAGTTGGTCAGCTCGCAGCAAAAAGAGGTGCAACTACCGCTGGGCTATCCATATATAGAGTAATACACATGGAGAAAGAAATGATGATGATTTCGCCCTAAGGATATTTCGACTCTTGTAATACCTCAAAAGGTGTAAAAGCAGCGTATCTTTTTGTACCACTAAAACGATAACATCCCCATGGGGAATAGCTTAAGTGTATTTATGAAACAAACTGAATGTGCTTTTGCACCTCTATCCGCGCAAAATAGTATAAAATTAGCCCCGTGATTCTGCGCCTGAGCCACAGGAGAAAATTCGCTCTTGGGTATTGATTAGGCGCGCGGATCACTGATTGCCGCGTCATGCCGCATTGGTTACACCGCCTGCCTGCTGCTGTTCAACCAACCTTCGATTATATGTAGCTGCAGACAGGGGCTGTGTTTAACGTGTCACGATTCATTCTAAAACGCGTGTAAGGCGGATCCGCTCATTCCAAGACTCCTTGACTGACTCTCATCATGAAGCTGTCGCTGATGTCCCTCGTGAACAAGCTCAGAAGACCATCTCCTCACAAAGCTCATAGCGCGAATGAGGCACATACGAAAGAGTCCTTGACCATCGTGTCACACGAGAGCCGTACGATGGCGTTGGCTCGTGCCGCTGCAGTAATGACTGCCCCCTCGAAGCCGCTTTCACCTGTCGTCGCGGTACCCATTCCCAAGATTGTGAAGCCCGTGACTCCTGCAGAGCAGTACTGGGCTGCGCGAGCTCTTACAGCGGAAGCTATTCTGTCTGTGAAGACGCAGCACCACGAGGAGATTAAGATGTTGGCTGTCGTGGAGGAGACGAAACGCACCGTGAGTCTACCTTCCGTCGCTGCGTGTCCTCCAATGTGTGACACAGAGTTCATCAGCAAGAAGTAGCACAAGTGAATCAGATGCATGAGTCAAGGCAAAGAAGATTGGAGGCCATAGCAGTAGGCCTTCGCTTCGTGGACATGCCCGACCAACCTGATTGCCTTCATAGATCGCACTGCTCACGGCGCTCGTCGGTCTTGTCGCTTTCCTACTGTACACACCTCAGGCAAACCGTTCTCCCGCGCGACAATCTCGCAGTGTGCACTTCACCATCCCTATCCTGTCGCCGTTCGCCTCAGTGGTACGCTGGTTATATTCTCTGCTACTCCATCGGTTGACGAACATACGCGCCAGGTCGAACATGAATCGTCGGTAATTGGGACGAAGATATTGACTGTCATTATTTTGGCCTCTGCCGTGCTAGCGTACGGCTGCTTCCGCTTCTGGATGGCGCACCGTCTAGGTCGTTAATCTCGTGGCTTGGGGGCTGGGCTCGGGTGAGTAGTGTATTGTATTAGCCATGCGGGTTCAATATAGTCGATATTTAATGCAGCTCTCATCGCAATCAAGATTCCATCTTAGCGGCAGCGAGCGAATAGGCATACTGCTCGTGGCGAAAGCGTCGTTTGCTGCTTGCGGTGCCCGGTTGCGACCTCGGCCGTTCTCCCATCTGCTACCGTGCCATCTGGGGGCGTCGTTCCAAGCACTGCATGCTTAGCATGTGCTCGCTTTGTTGTATTTATGGTCGTGGACCGAACAGTTTGCGCTGGCGATGAGCAGGTCCAGCGCCGTCTAGATTGAATTTGGTCTACCCGCTTTTCTTTCCCAGCATGTACATTACGTCTTTAGAAGCTCTAGACTCCGCCTACCAGTTTTAAACCAGTCACCACAACCTCAAGTCACCATGAACGAGGTCGTCAACGCTTTGTCACGTGCAATCGTCGGCTAGGGAGAGCGCAGCGCATCAACGCATCAGGCGCGTCGGAACCTGATGCTCCGTCAGTATTGTTCAACCAGTCGCGTAGCAGTCCTCCCGCCGGAAATACAATAACAATGATGGCCAGTCAGACCCGGCTGCACTTCACTTTCATTACTTTCATTCCAGCTCTGATCCCTTGCAAACCCTTCCGCTCTCTTAACTACCACTCTCATTCGTCTGGACTTGGATATACTTCGAAACAGTGATTAATGAACTGCTGACTGGCGAGTCAGGTAGAAAATCATGTCGCAGGTTACGCCCGGCAAGGCAGATGGAACCGACTCTCAGACGTTCTTGACCGCACTCATCACCAACGCCAGTATCCTCGCAATTGAGGTCATCGCTTTCGTCGTCTTGCGAAGCCGACTATGGCGAATATACGAGCCTAGGACATACCTGCCGCCTCCAGAGTGCGTCCTTCTACGACACTTCCGTATATGGTACTGATTACGACGCCTTTCCAGCAAACGGGCAGTAAGCTTGCCTGGAGGTTGGTGGAAGTGGCTGTTGGCCATCGTTACGATACCTACAGGAGACATCGTGAGTAACATTCGCCTTCCGCGGTACGACTATACCTTAAGGAGATATTTGTACAGATGCAAAAGAACGGAATGGATGCCTACATGTTCCTTCGATTTCTTCGACTGCTCATCATACTATTCGCTTCCATCACGGTCTTGACCTGGCTCGTTCTCCTGCCTGTCGACACAGCTGGTTTACCCAACGCCAACTTCACTGACCGTCTATCTCGGCTGAGCTGGGGAAAGTAAGGCTTATATGGGTGCTTCTGTAAGCTATCATTACCACTGACACATGAAGCCCTCAGTATACCTGACACGGAGACTAAGCGATACGTGGCTCACGTCGTCGTCGTCTATATCTCAACTTGCGAGTAGATGCGTCACTTAATCATCGGCAAATGACGATTCTGATTGTACTGCTGCACAGTCTGGACGCTCTTCCTGATTCGTCGAGAGCTCGTCCATTACACACTCAAGCGCCATGAATTCCTAACTTCCTCATCGCACGCTACGCTCGCTCAAGCACGCACAGTTCTTATCATAAACGTTCCGCCAGAGATGTGCGATGAGCATGAGCTCAGGCGATGGGCGAGCTTCGTCCCTGGAGGTGTTCAGAACGTTTGGATCTACAGGGACACCAGGGTAAGCATTGAGGCTGCACCATGTACCTGCTTGTCGCGGATTACTTAGTCCATATGCAGACTCTCAACGGAGATTACAATGCTCGCCTGGAAGCCTGCCAGCTCCTCGAGCAAGCAACGTCCAAGCTCATACGCAAGGTTGTTCGCGCGAAACACAAAGAGGAGAAGAAGCTCCGCAAGGACGGCAAGGCCCCTGTGCCGCTGCCGAAGCTGAGTGCGCCTGTGCTCACAAAGCGCGAGAGGACTCAGCACCTGGATGCGTACCTGATGCAGGAGCGCCGCGTGGGCCACGACATCGTTGACACCGGACGCGGGCCGAGCCTCGATTCATTGCGCACTGCCGTTGGCGCAGAGAAAGAGAAGGCTGTGAACCCGTTCGAGGACGTCTCATTGGAGAGTGTGCCTGCGAGCTCGGGATCGCGCCATAGCCGGACGAGAACGAGCATTCTTGAGGCGGGGCAGCTGTCGCCTGGTGGTGCATCGACTGTTGAGAAAGACGTGGGCATAGATGCAGAGGCACTCCTGGAGAAGTATGCGCTCCCGAAGAAGCGGCCACACCACAGGCTCGGGTTTATGGGTCTGTTTGGAAAGAAGGTCGATACGATCAAGTGGTGCATGGTTAGTCTCATTGTTGCGCTGTGGCCTTCAGGACATTTTTACTCACTGGTTTTCTAGGACGAGATCTCGAAGCTGAATAAGAGCATCGAGGAGAAGCGCGGCGCTCTTGCGCAGGCTGATAAGATGCCGAAGCCCTTGGGCAGCGCCTTTATCCAGTGCAACCTGCAAATGGGTGCACATGTGCTAGCGCAGTGTGTCAGCTACCACAAAGTCCGTCTTTCTTCGCCTTTGCTGCCTTCCCCATTACCGACCAAACGTACTTCCAGCCCCTGATGATGGCTGAAAAGTTCATCGAAGTCTCGCCAAAGGACGTTATCTGGGACAACATCGACGTAGGCCCGCCCTCAGTCTGCCTGGCACGCTGAAGCTGATCGCCGCGGCTCACAGGACGGCGCATACGAGGCCCGGTTTCGCTACGTCACGTCCTGGATGGGCAGCATCGCACTCATTGTTCTTTGGTTCGCGCCGGTCGCATTTGTTGGCACACTTAGCAACGTCTCTACCCTCTGTCAGAAAGTCGCGTACGTCATCTATGGTGGCTGTCGAATGAGCTGCCGCTGATTTACGACGGGACAGCTGGCTTTGCTGGATCCGCAACGCGCCTACGCCCATACCTGGTATGATCCAAGGTATTTTGCCTCCGCTTGCCCTTGCAGTTTTGTTTGCCATCTTGCCCTGGTTACTACGAGGTAGGTGCAGCTCTTCCACTCCCACTTAAGGTTAACAATCTATGTCAGGTCTGGCTTGGTATGAGAACATCCCTCGATGGTCGCTACTTTCCATTAGCGTCTACAAGCGCTACTTCCTCTTCCTCGTCATGTTTGTCTTTCTCTCCGCTGATATGCTGCATCACACTGACTTGCGATGATAGTCACGGCTTCCTCATCGTCACACTGAGTTCTGGTCTGACATCAACAGCTGCTCAGGTTAGTGAATGCCCAGTTTTATATCTCCAATGTTCCTATCCTCAACTCGCGCTTGCTAGATCGTCGAGAACCCGACTCAGGCACTGTCCTACCTTGCATCTCAGCTACCAAATGCCTCGATCTTCTTCCTCACCTGGACGTGTAAGTCTCCACCTAGTCGTGTCACAGCCGGAAACAAGCTGACCACAATCCAGTAACGCAGGGTCTGAGTGGCGCCGGAAGCGCTCTTCTACAAGTGGGCACCATCTTGTTGTATTTCGCCAAAAAGTGGTTCCTTGGTCGAACGCCGCGGCAGGCATACGAGGTGACGTTTATGATGCCAAAGGTGCCTTCTAAACTTTTCTGTGTCCTACAACTTGCTGAGATGTCTAAATTCTAAAGGCGGATTTTGGTCTGGTGTTACCGCGCATCTCGCTGCTTGCTACGATCGCACTTGCATATAGCGTGCTTTCGCCCATCATCAACGGTCTAGCGATGTTGTCGTTCTTGCTGTTCTTCATGGCATGGAAGTTCCGTGAGTCCGACCCTCTGCGTGAGACGCGGCCTGGTTTTAACGGTCACGATGCCCCTAGTCTTGACGTGGGTATTTGATCAACCAGACGAAGCGGAGACTGGAGGTCAATACGTAAGCGTCTTACCTCATGTATCTCATAACCGCCCGATTGACTAGTTGGCGCAGTTCCCGCTTGCGATTAATTTCCTGTGTAAGTCGACGTGCTCCATCAGCGGTGCAATCCTCTGACTTTAACAGTCGTCGGCATGTACATCGAACAGTTCTGTCTTGCTGTCCTGTTCTTCCTCAAGATTTCTAACGGCATCTCATTCCTTGCCGAAGGCGTCCTAATGCTCTTTCTTATGGCCGTGACATTATCTGCGCAAGTGTTGTTCCAGCGCAGCTTTGATCGTACGTTCCGTGGCCATATTTTTAATGCTAACGTACTGATGAACTCTATAGCAATTACTCAGTTCCTCCCAATGTCGCTAGCGACAGAACAGCTTCAGAAGCGGTGGGAGAGCCATAGGTTGCACAAACATAGCGGCAGCCAGGATTCCGAGATGAATCTCTTCAGTAAAAACGGTGATTGCCTCTCTTCAGATCCATCATCTGATCGAGGTACTGACGGCCATCCTCAGGTCTGAAGATGGTGGTCAACCGTCACCTTGTGAATCCGGTAGAGAAGCTCGCCAAACACGTCGAGAACAACATGGCCAAGGTCGCTGATATTCAGTCCGATGTCGGACACGGCAGCACGGAGAACGACGTCGCACATGGATCAACATCTGCGTATGACTCTGCAGGGCACCGCCGCCACAACTCACACCACCACGTGCACCACCACAACCCGCACTACAATGACGCCCATCAGGGGCACCAGCAGACGCACCACCGACGCACAAAGTCGACGCACCGCTCGGGCGACTCGAGTCTGACTAAAGCGCCGCGTCGGCTGCCACAGTTCGCGCCCGCCGCGCCAAAGCGCCCAGTCGCCGCAGAGGACGAGGGCGACGTCGACGAGGATTTCGACGCACACGGCTTCGACCATCCGTCCACGTACGAAGAACAGCCGTGGATCTGGGTGCCAAAAGACGCACTCGGCCTGAGCGAGGTGTTCGTGCGCGAATATCGCACGCTGGGCGTCGAAGCAAGCGACGAGGGCGCGGTAATGGACGAGCGGGGGAACGTCGAGGTCAATCGGAGTCCGCCAGACGAGGAATGGCATGGTGGACACGACGCATAGTTTGGCATGAATCCAATCTTTCTTCGCACTGTACAATAGTCAACGTTGCACATAATCCCATCCTAATGGGTATTTTTACTGCACATATATTCAATTGTGCACGTGGCAATAATGTCATCTCGCGCTCAATTAAATCTTTGGCATTTCTGCTAGAACCACAATGCTTCACAACAGCTCTCTCGTTTCTGGACCGGCCGTGGGATGTATGTCTTCGCAACACGCGGCCATTATCTTGGTGATTACGCCTACAGGACCAAGGAGCAGATATCGTCTGAACGTGAAACTGAAACACTTCCCGTATACACAAGTGATTAGTGACAATCGCACACAGACAGAGATGTCGCATCACATCCCACCCATCGATGATGTAAATTATGTTCCCGCTCCAAGTGCCGAGGGTAAACTTTTATTACACGAACGCTGAAAGAGGCAGCGCCGCTCATAGCAAATCGCCGAGCGCAGCGAGCTCTGGGCCACCAGATTCCCGCATGCCGATCTCCCAGTCTGCAAGGGGTACCATAAGCACATGATCTCACATGAAAGAAATATGAAGAACGTACAGCTGTAGATGATGGTAACGGCCATGAGGATACCGGTACCGCTACCAATGGCGCCCATGAGGTCAGCAGCAACGGAGAGCAGGCCAAGCATAGCGCCACCGAGCGCGGCAGCGGTGGGAACGACACGCTTGAGCTCCTTGTACATCGAGCCCTCACGGTGACCTGCCATGACCTGCAGCATTCTAGTTAGAAATAACGGGCTAATTATTGATATCAAAGGAGCGCACCATCTGTTGTTCTTTGAGTTGCTTGGCTATGTCACGGGGACCACTTCCAGAGACCTCGATCCATGTCTTGGAAAAGATGGCGCAGGCCGAGGTGATGAAGGCAATGTAGATCACGGTATGGATAGGGTCAAGAAGGACCGTCTTGATGCTCTGCGGTGGAGACATGTAGTATGCAATACCAGAAACAGCCTGAAGCTGCGGCGAGTCTTCGAGAGGCTAGGCCATGATAAGCAACACTCTACAAAACACTTTCGAACGGCTTACCTCCCAGACACCGAGTAACCGGACGAGGAGGTTGCTAGGGAAGCGTGACGCGAGCATTTGTGAGAGAATGAAGACGTTGGACACCAGAGCAGATTGCAGCATGATAGGCATGTTCGAGGTGTAGAACAGCTTGACGGGGTAGGAGCCGCGCTGGCCACGGAAGCGATTGCTCTTGACAGGGATCTCAATGCGGAAGCCCTGGAGGTAGATGACGACCGCGAAGACGACGACGGTAGCGATCAGATTCATGATGTTCGGGAGACGGTCGCGCCAGAACGCCTCACGGAGCGCACGACCCTTGTCGTTCCAGGTGAAGACCAAGTGGAAGAGCGAAACAACGGCACCCTCGAATTCAGGGCCACGACCAGTGTTAATAGTAGTTGGTGAGAAGGCCTTCCAGACGATGGATTCGCAAATGTTGGTGGCAATGAAAAGCGAGATACCAGAGCCGAGACCATAGCCCTTCTGAAGTAGCTCATCAAGAAGAATAACGATGAGCGACGCAGAGATAAGCTGGATTATAAGGAGCAGACAGACTCCCGCGCCGATGTCGGATGGCTGGCCGTAGAGGCCGGTCATGACGTAGACGGTAGCCTGGCCAAAAGCAATGACCAAGGCAAAGACTGAGATGGAACGTGAGTCATGCAAGTACACAGGAGTGCTCCGGAATCGAAGACTAGGATTGGCACGTACGCTTTTGAGCCCCGCTGAACAACGCACGATCCTCCTTGAGCGAGAAGTCGACCTCGATGAGGTTTGCACCAGCCAGCAGTTGCATGATCATTCCAGAGGTAACAATAGGGGTAATACCAAGTTCCATAAGTGTGCCGCGGTTGGAGGCGAGGATGACACGCATCCAGTAGAGCGGGTCAGACGAGTCGGACGACATGATGCCGTACAGCGGGACTTGTGAGCAAACCAAGAAGATCAGCAGTGTCACGGCCGTCCATAGCACCTTCTGGTTGAAGGGTACCTAAGAATGTTGTATGGTCTGAGTATCGCGTGAGATGACACGTAGCGGTACGTGCATACCTTGCGGTCTGGCGACGAGACTTCCGGGAGGAGTGGCAGGAACGGACGGACGAGATTCAGAAACCGGACTGCATAGAGTGTTCGTAAGCTTTGTTCAACGTTTCAGACAGCGTCGAGACGTACATCCGCTCATGTTGGCGGCGGGGACCGTGGACGGGCTTGGAGACGTGGATGAGGACAACCGCGGACACGTCGCCAATTTCAGTGAGGTGGCATGCCAAATAGTAGTAAATAACATCATCCAATTAGCTGCAGATAAAAGATTAGATCAGATCAGATCATCCTGACGTGTAATCTCTCGCTTCATCTCGTCACCTTCCCAGTCGCCCTTAAGTACACGAGCTGACTTCAAGCTACAAGCTTCAAGTCTGCATAATTGTGTTCGATTAACGGAAATAACCCGACAATTTGACAGATCTAATCAATTACATCATACGCCCAAACCTGATTTGCGGACTTCGAGTCGGACATCATCGATCATCTATCGGCTCTGCAAGCTGTGCACAATGCGTGGGTAGCAGCAGAACCAAGCTCAAAAGACTTAAATGTCAGTGAGCGCTGAACACGAGGCACTCCCGACATCTAGTAGACAGCACCTTCTCAGATCTTCTCTGCAGAACGCGCGTACTCTTTTTCTTACGTTAGGACGACTCACCAACTCACTAACATGGGCTGGGACGAAGTTTGTATCATTTGCGGTATCAGGCCGTACAGCGGCCCAGCTTGGTTCTGCAGCGGGAGGGACCAAGTGGCTACCGAAATCGCGAAGGAGATTCTCGACGCCGGGCTTGTCGACCTCCCTGCCGAAGGGATCACTTCCACGTTGCTAAAGGCCTTCTCCACTGACAGCCTCGATGTTTTTGACCGCTGCTACAAGTCTGCTATTGATCTGGGCTACGACCATGACTGCATCGCCATTGGATATTTCGACGGCACCGGCGGGTACGTGCCCTGTAACCACCACGGACGCACGCTGCACCCGACCGGCGATGATGTGCAGATCCGCAGAGTGTGCACACCAAATGGCGGTATATTCAGCGAGCTCATCGAGTTCGACCGGGGCCAGCGCATTGTGGCGGAGCAGGACACCAGCTGCGACACCTATTGGGCGAGCGACGAGCCCACGTATAGCGTCTGGGTGCACGTCGCGTGTTGGACGTACCTTCAGGAGTGGCTCGATTGTTCTCTGCCACCGCGCATCGGCAGGAGCGGTTTGTCGTTCACCCTCGCCGGCGAGCTGTACGAAATCACCGGCTCCCGCCACGAGCGTCAGACACAAGTGCGGGGCTGGCTCCCGTGCGTCGACTATGGTGGCACGCTCGATGCGTACATGGACGTGCAATACCAAGATTATATCATGGGTCCTCGCAAAGGCTCGAGGCACATCGCACAGGCCCTTAGTGAAGGCCTGCGCGACGAACAGCTCATACCGGCCATCATGAAAGATTCGCGCTTTTGGATGTTCACCCGGCCTGACATGTGAGTCCACCTCGCCCGCCCGTTGTCGAAATACTGAGGCTTGCATAGGTGGCCTCGCGCACCTCAGCCTGGGCCCTATGAGCCGAATCCGATATCCCTGGCATCTGACGCCACACTGCAGCCCCTCGCGTCCGTCTGCAAGCTGCCAAATGAGCTCTTCCCGGACCTGCTCCGGCACTTCCGGCTCGAGGATATAATTGCACTCGCATCGACGTGCAAAAATCTGTACGCCCGTGTGCTCGATCGCAGCACGCTTATTTACGTCGTACGCCAGGCGATGACTGACGTGACGAGCCCCTTGCGCTGGATTGTGCCTCTGCAAGCCCTTCGCGAGGAGTGGTACGCCGCTTGCGAAGCAATGCAGACATGGATGCCTCCGCTATCGCCACCGCCAACTACGTTCGTGGAGATGGAATTCCCAGAGGAGGAGGAAGCGGACGAGGACTTTGTCCCGCCAGGGAGCGAGACCGAAACCGAGGATGGTGATGACGGGAGCGAAGACGATATGGTGGAAGTCTGGAGGAGAGGGTGGTAGAGGAAGCGGTGATGATGATGAAGACGCCGAGACACTGAAGGCCGTGGCCGACGAAGACGAAGGCATTGCGACCGGGTACATCTCTGACGTCCCCATCCCCCTCCCACCCGATCCCACGAACTTGCCTTTGCCGCCACTCCCGCTGTTCGGCCCTGCTTTCCCTCTGCTAATTTTCCTACAAGCGTGTCGTGATTCAGACTCCATGCGCGCGCGTCAGCGGCGGTGGGAACTCATAAAGCAGTGGGATGTACTGTTCGCAAACTACCGTCGTGATGGCTGGGAGCGAGATGAATTCTGTCGACCAGGTACCGCTTGGGCTTTGGATGGGGCGAGGCTTAAGTGTCAGTGTCAGAAAGGCAGTTTGTAAGGGGCATGTTCTTTGCAAGATCTAGTAGAGTGTACATATGCAGTTCTGGTTCTAACGAGTGGCAGAATGAGAATGATTATTGTGATGACGGCGCACTAATTAACATCACGCTGTCCTGTTAGCGTGTGAAATTTCCCCCCGCGCCCAGCGGGCACCCTTCGAAGTTCGAGTGAGAAGCGCTCCCGAACCACGAACGGTTGCAACTCTCGGCTGCAACCATATCTCTGCCTTCCGCTTCTCTGGTGAGCCATTCCTTTCGAATTATCCCGGAGGCAGAGTTTTGTATTTTATCTGTAGTCACCAGTTACCTTCTACTGGCACAAGACTCTCACCCAATGGGAGATGTGTACGCCGCTCTCTGTGCACTGCCTCTCGAGCTTCTGTGTCAGCAACTAACAATCCAACTGGACTGAGCTATGACAATGCTGAGGAGACAGACGAGAGGAAAGTGAGTGAGAAAAGACCAGCTCAAGTCTGGCTTGTCATTGAGCAGTACGAGCTCCTTATATACATGTCAGACTCAATACCTAGAGTATAATACAAATATATGGAGGTGCATAGAAAGTAAAAGAATACTGTGGAATTTGGGAGAACCATCCGAAGTATGTAACATTCATGACATTACCCCCCCCTTTTAGAATCGTGTCCTCACGATTATTTACCAGTAGAACTGAACCCTCCTATTCTGCGTTGAGTTTCCGACAGGTTTAACACCTCCTCAATATCGCATGACGCAGTACGTTTCAGAACTACTTGGACAATTCGATCACCAGCGCATACCTGAAACAGTTGATTGGTGGTATTAATCATCACTACATGTACTTCTCCCGTGTAGTCATGGTCCACGACTCCGGCACCAATGTTGATCCCTTTGACCACTAATCTGCTTTATGGTGCAATTTGTGCATAGGTTCTGTGAGGGGCATGCATTGCAATGCCAGTGCCGATGATCTTACAGCTCTGAGCCAGTATCTTAGTGCTTTCAGCGGAGTAAAGATCGAGGCCGGCGGCTTCTTCCGATCCGCATTCCGAGAGAATTCCCCCCATTCGTTGTACTCACAGAGTGGTATTGCATACTAGTATGTGTACCGGTCATGTGAGGAGAGGGGGAATACGAATTGTCACAGGCGCGGGCTTATCGTGACGTCTAGAATGGAAATCTTGGAGAAGTTCTTGACAATTGGTCAGGTTTGCTCGTGATTCCCAAGAGCGGCAATCACCGTGTGGGCTATGCTTCCAAGAACTTGATATTCAAGATTTCCATTTCAATCACGTCATGAATTGAGAATCTCTTCTACCTTCCATTCTTTCTCACCATTTATGAGGTCTGGAACTACGGGTTCATGTTGTTGTGATGGATATGTAGGTTCTTTGAAGGGGCTAAGCAGACTTTCATTAAAGACGGGGTGTTGTTTCCATTGCCGCAGGAGTTCTAACTTGTAGCCTGAAGTGCCAACTTTGCATTTGACTTTAAATGGTTCGTATCACTTATCGTCAAGCTTCTTCATTGGTCTATTAGTTCAAATGTTGACCTCTTTTAGCCAAACTTTATCCCTGACCTTGCACTCCGGTCCGCTCATCCTTTTCCTATTGTAGAAGCACTTCATAGATTCTTGTGCTAGACTGATAGTGGCACTGGTATCCTTGCATACTCGACTCGATCAACAAACTGTGGGACGCTTTTGCTTAGTCCTTCCCGTACCAGTTGGGTTCCTTTGTAAGGATGATATCCTTTGTTAACAAAGAAAGGAGTATATTCAGTAGAAGAATGGACCTTGTTATTGTATGAAAAGGCTGCAAGTGGCAGCCATTTGGTCCAATCTGATTGTCGGTAGTCGATGAATAATTGGAGATACTGTTCTATCTTGCAATTGACACGTTCTGTCTGTCCATCTGTCTGAGGATGATACGCAGTCGAGAGGTTGGCTTCAATCCCAAGCAATCAGTACAATTCAGAGATGAATTGGTTCTTGAATTTGGTGCCTCTGTTGCTGATAATCTTTCAGGGTAGTCCATGGTGTGCGACCACATGATCATGGAGCACTTTTCCCCATCCTTTGGCATTAAGTTCAATGGTGCTTGGTATCGTGATCATTTGCTTGGAGTACATGCAGACGACTACAAAAATAGTGTTATATCCAAAGGACTCCAGTAATATGCCTATCTTATCTACGGAGATCACCTCCCAGGGTTGTGTAGGGATTTCATTAGGGAATAGAAGTCCTGTGGGTCTTGTTGTGTGGGCTTTGGTCTTCTGGCACTTCTCACACCTGGCCATGTACTTCCAGATGTCTTCTTGAATTCTAGGCCACCAGTAATTACATGTGACCATTTCGTGCATTTTGTATTGACTAGGGTGTCCAGCTAATGGGGTATCATGGTGGTGAGAGATGATCTGTTCCCAGAGCTTCTTATTTACTGGTATGTAGATACAGTTCTTTCACGTCACCAGTTCTGTGCTATTTTCATTCCAGTCCTTGTCCTTGTTCTGTAGGGCTATGGTAACTAGTGAATCTTGGTTCTTTTTGTATTTTTTAATTTTTGCAATCCAGTCCTGGTCGATTCCTTCTAAACTAAATACTGTGTTACGGATTAAAACATGGAAATGTTCTGGTTTTAGTAGTACAATGTCTGAATTGTCCTCTTTCCCTGCATTGTGTCTTTTCTGTCGAGACAGTCCATGGGCTTTGCCATTGAATTTCCCAGGCTTGTGATGCAGCAAGTAACGGTACTCGGCTAACTCAGTTATCCATTGGGCCTGACGCCGATTAAGCTTCTGTGGCTTCTGGAAGTATTCTAAGTTCTTGTGATCTGTCCATATTTCGAATGGTTGTCGGGTGCCCATGAGGTACTGGTGCCATTCATTAAGACTAGTCATAATTGCGAGAAGTTCCTTGTCGTAAATCTCGTAATTTCTTTCAGTAGCTGTCATAGCTTTTGACAGGTAAGCGACGGGTTTCCATTTACCGTCCTGCTTCTAAGCTAGTTCCGATCCAATGGCGAAATTTGAAGTGTCACATTCTATCCAATATGGATCGTCGTCATTGGGTATAGCTGATACTGGTGCTGTACAGAGGGTGTTCTTCAGGCTTGTGAATGCAATTTTTTGTTTGATGGTCCATTCAAAAGTGGCATTACCCGTTAACGAACTGAGCGGTTTGGCTATCTTGCCGTAATCTTTAATGAACCTTTGATAAAAGTTGGTGAAGCCGAGGAACGCCTGAATGTCTCGTTTACACTTGGGCCGAGGCCAATTGACGACTCCTTCTATCTTGACTGGGTCCATGTAGACAACACCTTTTTCTACTATCATACCAAGATATTCGACTTCTGTCTTCTCGAACTTGCACTTTTCCAGTTTCAGGTAAAGTTTGTGTTCTCTCAAGATCTGTAGAACTTGCCGCGTGATCTGGCAGTGTTCTTTTAGATCTTGGGTGAAGATCATGATGTTGTCTAAGTAGACTACTACGTGTCCTTGACTGATGAGATCTCGGAATACGTCATTCATCATGGTTTGGAATGTAGTTGGGGAGTTCGTGAGACTGAAAAACATGACTAATGGCTCAAATAGTCCTTGATTGGTAAGAAAGGTGGCTTTCTCTTCATTGCTCTCTTTGATGCAGATGTTATTATATCCCCATCAAACATCTAACTTCGTGAAGTATTACGCTTGCTTCAGCTTGTCGACTAGCTCCTGTATCAAAGGAAGCGGGTATTAGTTCTTAATTGTCAGCTCATTCAGCTTCCGATAATCTTGTATGGGTCAGAGACGTCTGTCCTTCTTTTTGACAAAGAAGAAGGGTGAGGCCCAGGGTGACTTCGATGGTCAGATCCTTCCGGTTTTGAGGTTCTCTTCGATGAATTCATTGAGTTCTTTCTGTTCATTAACAGATATGGGATAGACTTTATAGCTGATTGGTTGTGAACCCGGTATCAGCTCGATGGTATGATCCCATGGTCACCTTTGTGGCAGGAAATCAAAATCTTCTTTGCTAAACACATCCGAGTAGTTGTGATAGTGGCTTGGAACTGTATTCTCAAATGTTTTAGCCTCGTGTTTTAGACTTTCTTTTATCGCTAGGTCTGTGGCCGTAGTGTGCATACACGTCGCTCCTGTAGTAAAGTAGGTTTTGTAGTCTAAAACAAAAATTCTATCTTTCTCTTCAAGGCGAGCCTCTGGATTGCTGGGTTCTTCGTGATCATTTTCAATGCCAATTGTTTGAGTGGCATATTGGCAGGTAATTGGACAACGATCAAACTTAATGACTTGTTCCTGCCAATTGATAGAAGGGTTGTGAATTTGGAGCCATTCATAACCAAGGAATATGGGCGTCTTTCCTAGGTTGGTAATGGCAAAGGGAAGTCGTTCTATATGATCCTGAATTTTGACCCTTAATTTGACATAGTCCGTGATGGAGCCGCCGGCATTATGCGTACCATTGGCATTGGATACTGAAATTGGTGATGGTAGCTTCTTAGTAGCGGTGTTGTTATTGCATACAAATTGTGCATCAATCGATGATTCCGTGCATTCTGTGTCTAGCAGTGCTTTAACTGATAAGTGCTGATGTGTGTCCAGCGTGGTAATAATCATTGGAACGTCCATTTGCATCCCTTTTCTCCCTTGAACGAAGCGAGGTTGCTTCCGTAATTCATTTAGAAAGTCAATCGCTTCCTCGTCTTTCATCTGTCTGATCTATTCCATACAGGCTTCTGAGGCGTCAACACTCTTCTTTGAGTGGACCCATTCAGTCAGCAATCTAAGCGCTGCTACTTCTTTGCTGATTATTCATTGGCGGATCCATGCCGCCATTCAAGGGGTGTGGTGCTGCCACTGCGTAGGTTCAGTCTGTGTTTCTGAGGTAGGAGATAATTTTTTATTCAGGAGAATTAAGCAAGAGAGTTGTGTCTCTCTGCGCCGCTCTGCGGACACCCCTTTTTCTGGTATATACATGGATACTCCAAACCAGAAACACAGATAGTTCATAAAGCTATGTTTGGTCAACTCGGCTACACTTCCGGCTGACCACTTGCAAAACCCTTTAAGGCCATGCAAATTTCTTCGTGAATTGCCATTTTCCAATCGAATGGTTCTGCCGTCACAGCAGATGCTTTGTTGAGTGATGCGAGTGGTGTGAAACTGTTGGTGGTAGGAGTTGCGGGTGTTTTTGTTGCTCATACTTGTTGAGCTTATTGCCTATTAGAGCAGTTGCATGACAGGTGACCCTTTTGGCCACATCGGAAACAAAGACCAAGGCGTCGCGCCTGGTCTAACTCCATTGGTTGACCTCTGCCGCCAAATGTCACACCTGTTCCGTCTCGGTGCGTCTAGACTGGAGCAGTCGTCGTTGTGGGTGTGGCTACGTTAGCCTGCACCCGTGGTGGATTTTGCGACTGTGGTTGTCGTGGCTGGAATTGTTCCTGTCACTGGGATTGCAGGTTTTACCTGCGATACTGCTGCTAGTTTAGGTTGATGTGAGCGACTCGTTGTTTGTAGAGCTCGTAGGTGGTCGGGATTCCTTCTGAGTTGTACAGGAGCCAAATGATGTCGGTCCAGAGCATCTTTTCCAGGAGCAATTTTAGTTCCTGAAAGTGCTTCTCGAAGTCATGAATATTTGCCTGAAAGGTGCACAATTCAAACTTGGAGAAGAACTCCTATGCCGTTAACGCTCCCATCTGCATTGCTTGCAGCCGATCGTATGCTTCTGATGCTTCATTGATCAGGAAGTGCTTATCAAGATCTGCCCACAGTGCCGTCATAGTTTGAATCACCGTATCTTTGTTGGTGTCATATTTTTTCATGTACGTGGCGATGTATTTGCCAGCGTGTCCTCCTTTCATGTAAGACAGGATCATGAGAACCCTGTCAAACTGCTCTGGTAGCCACTTTCTCTGCGTGACCACGTAAAGCTTCATTTGGGTTTTCTAAGTGATGTACTTGAATTTTGTGCCGTCAAAGGCATCAGGCTTCATTGCGCTTCCATTGATAAACACAGCGTTATCTTGATTCTCGGTCATCGTGCCGGGATCAGATGGAGAAGATGGTGGGGTAGGGGATTGTTGAGGAAACAGACTTGGTAGTTCAGAATCTTCCAAAGCATCTTCCACAGGTTGTTCTGGTGGACCTTCAGGTGGTACTTCTGTTTCTCCTAGGGCGATTGAGTGGAGTTGGGCAGTGACCGAGTCAAGAGTATCGCGTCTTTCTCTGGGTTCTAAGCTAGACGCTACTGGTGTGGTGGCGAAAAGGGATTCTGTCAGTTCTCCGAGTCCAACTCTTATTGTTGCTTCTTCTGTTAATCCCTCTTCACACTGCAGACAGTGAGTATTATTGGCTGGAAAGTGTGGACACGGTTGCTGCACGCAGTATTGTAGGATTTCATTGTGCTTAATAACGTGTCTATTATTCTGTATGCAATGGGTGTAGTTTCTGCAGTCACAAGAGCTTCTAGCGATCATGTGCTATCGGGTCTGTGGAGCTAATTGCAGCAGACTCTGGGATCAATCGTGTTGGAATGACCAAATCAAAGGTAGAGTTCGCCAAAGATAGGGCATTTCCAAAAAAGTACCGAAACACTAATTGTAGTACAGGTTTAGAGATAATATAGCAGCCCAAAGAGTGATTATGTCTCTTCAGTCCGACGCCCAGAAGGGGATCATTGATCTAACTGCTATTGCTTTTCTGACACCTGGCCGCAACCAGTTGCCACGTCGTACTTAGGAATATCCGCTTGCACTGCACAAAGCATGTAATACCGCCTATGGTAGGGCAGGGTACGATTCTAATTGGATGGTGCTCTGTCCAGCTGCCTGAGAGCTGGTGATTACAGAGGTGACTTCGGGGGAATGAGGTGATAAAATGTGCAAGTGCACAGAGAAGGGTTCCAGGGGTCTGGGTCTTGATGCAGGAGTGTCAAGTAGGGTTAGAATTGGGGAGAAAATTCAAACGGACAGGTATAGGGGATCATCATGTGGAGATGGGTGATAGTTGGTGTGAGAGTGACGAGGATCGTCATAGGGCAGTTAGGGGAGGCTCGAGCTAATGTCAGCAACTAACAATCCAACTGGACTGAGCTACGATAACACTGAGGAGACAGATGAGAGGAAAGTGAGTGAAGAAAGACCAGCTCGAGTCTGGCTTGTCATTGAGCAGTACGAGCTCCTTATATACATGTCAGACTCAATACCTAGAGTATAATACAAATATATGGAGGTGCATAGAAAGTAAAAAAATACTGTGGAATCCGGGAGAACCATCTGGAGTATGTAATATTCATGACATTCTGCCGGAGCCCTTGCAGTATCTTGACCTCGAGGGCATCTTTGCTCTCGCGTGCATGTGCAAGGTCCTGCACGCCAGTATCCTCAACTGTGCGATGTTGGCACATGCACTTCACCTCTCAAGGATCAATGTCGGCAGCTGCTTGCACTGGCTGATGCCTGTCCCGTCGTTGCATGAGAAGTGGAAGGTGGCATGCAAAACAATGAACACATGGCCTCCTCTGCCACCACCTCCGCTTGAGATTGTGTGTGGGCTTGGACAAAAGAACAGCAGCAACAATGCAAACTTTGGCACCGAGGTCTGTGGCAAAAACAGCAACTCTGAAAGTGACCCAGTCAGCTTTGTAGACGCAGAGGGTGCCGATAGCATTATCCTGCCTCTGTTGAACATGGCTACACCATCTCTGCCATCTCTGCCGCTGTTTGATCCCTGTCTTTCTGCTCATATTGTTTCTGCGGGTGTGTGCGTGCTACCAGTTAATGCGTGTGTGTAGGTGGCGATGGGAGCTCATCAAACAGTAGGACACACTATTCATGAACTACCGAATGGATGGGTGGGAGTGACAGATTTTGTTTCCCTGGGATGACATGGGTAGTCTGCAACCGAACATGTCAATGCCAATGCCAAGACAAGCGTTAACAAGCTTCCCTAGAGATAGAGCCTTGCAGTAGCTTATAATAGAATCAAAGGACCAATGCATTCCTGTGAAAGTATCTAGCTGTGTGCACGACCTGAAGAGGCCCTTGATAGGTATGATCATAGTAGTCATAGAGCTGACTTTGCATATCAGATGACTGTCTGCAAGGCATAGATAATAAGATATTTGGCTTGCGAGAAGCACTGAGGGAAGTGAAGAAGAGCAGCCAATGTGCTATTTGACCAGAATCTGCAGTATACTGTACTTTTACAATCATAGCGGATGTCACATGTCACATCAGTTTTTGGCTGACACCACCAATAATATTTTCTCAATTTATGGTGATTTTGGTGACTTGTTGGAAAATTTCATTTTTTGGGCACTTTCATCCACTACAGTTGTAAAAGTACAGTAAGACATAAAGATCCAACAGCACTATGTGGCGATGCAAGCACCGGGGCTGTTACAAGCCCAGCAACTGAGGTTTATACCAACTCTGAAGTAAAAATCCAGCGACTACGCACCTTCTAAGCCGATACAAGTAGTGCTTCATGGATTATCTTGCAGAAGACAACAGATGATGCCATGCGGCAGTTGAAAGCTGCATGCAGGCCAGAGAGTATACACATTTCTGGGTTCAGAAAAGCCAGTTGCGAGGCATCCACTGTTCACAACCGGCACAGTAGCCAGGCTTGATATCTGGAGCTGCATACTAGTACCGAGTCCATTGCATCTGTTGTGAATAGAATCGCGCAGGCAAGGGATTCACAAGTAATCGACAGTAAATTCTATGGATAATACATTGTGTTCTTTTATAGCTATACTACTTCCTAATCTAGTCATTCAAATACAATGAAGCTGAGAGTGAACCGGCGCCAGAGCCGAGAACGCTCTGACCGCGTCATATCTAAAACGGGAAAGCCATCTCCAAATATGGCATGACGCGGTGAGCGCGTCATGTCGGTGTCTCGGTGCGGCGCGGCTGATGCGCATCCGGCGGATCAGCGCGCCTCGCGCCCCGAATACTACAACAACGTCTGCGCTGAGCGGTGTGCCCAATGGGCGCTCTTCGGGCGGGAAGCGCTCCTAACTAAACCGGACGGTGATATCGAGTAGCCGTAACTCACAGCTGCGGCCACATCACGGCCTTCCGCTCCTCTAGTGAGCTATCTAGTGAGCTATTCCTGTTGACTCATTCTGGTTTCGGAGCTTAGTGTGTTTTTTGTAATCACCAACTGCCTCTTACCGGCACAAGGCTGTCACCCAATGGCGGACGAAGTTTGTGTCCTATGCGGAATTAGGCCGTTTGGCGGTCCTACCTGGTTGTGCAGCTCCTCTGAGACACACGCAACAAGGATCGCAAAAGATATCTGCGACGCCGGTGCGGTCGATCTGCCTCTCACAGAAGTAAAATCCAACCTCCTGAAGGCCATCTCCGTTGAGAACCTCGACTTTTTCGAGGGAGATCCTAGGATGACTGTCGAGTCGGGCTACGAGGATGATTGTATTGCGATTGGATACTTCGACTCCACGGGCTCGTACGCCCCTTGCAGGCACCATGGTCGGCCACTCCACCCTACGGGTGACGACGTCAGGGTCCGACGCGTTAACGTACCCTTCAGCGGGGCGAAGTTTACTGCAGTTATTACGATCATCGATGGCGAGCGTCAGGCGGCGACCTCCGTGAGCAACTGCAACACCATGCAAAGGGATTCTACCTCTAGTGACAGGATGTGTATGGATTCTGACCAGTGTTGCAACGTGTGGGTCCACCTGGCCTGTCATGCCTATTTGGAAGCATGGCTTGACTGCGCACACGCGCCGCGCCTCGGGAGACATGGCCAGTTGCTTAGCCTTACGAGCGAGCTTTACGAGATCGTGGCATCACGCCGACAGCCCCGAGTAAGCTTCCGGGGTGCGCTTCCCAGTATCGACTATGGCGGGACTCTCGAGGCGTTCATGGGAGTCCCGTACCAGGACTACATCCTTGGTACCCGGAAAGGCGCCAGACACATTGCAAAGGCATTGCGTGAGGGCATACGCAACGAAAGGCTGATACCGGCGATACTCGAAGATTGTCGTCTTTGGATGTTTGTTCGGCCGGACATGTCAGTCGTCCGCATACATCATTAAAGGCTCGTCTGACGCTCCTCTTGCTAGCTGGCCGATTGCAACACCCGATTACCTCTCTGCTAAGACCTCCGTCGGTCACCAAGGCGTGCCACAGCCGCACGCCGCTATTTGTGCACTGCCTCTCGAGCTTCTACCGGTGCTCCTGCAATATCTCAACCTCGAGGGCATCTTCGCGCTCGCACGCACCTGCAAAGACCTGCACGCCAGTGTTCTCGACCGCGCGACGCTAACGCACGCGCTTCGCCTCTCAGGAGCCAATGTCGGCAGCTGCTTACACTGGCTGATGCCCGTTCCATCATTGCGCGAGGAGTGGGAGGCGGCGTGCGAAGCAATGAACACATGGCTTCCGCCGCTGCTACCTCAGGCCGTGCTCAAGGTCGAACTAAAGGACACCAGCGACAGCACAGAATTCGGTTCTGACGTCGATGACAAGGACGACAGCTCTGACAACGATCCAGACGGCTTCGTAGACGCAGAGGGGGCCGGCAACGCTGTCCCGGTTCTGTTAAATACGACTACTACACCACATCTACCACTTTTGCCGCTGTTCAATCTCGCTTTCCCGCTCGTGTCGTTTTTGCGGGCATGCGCACGCTATGAGTCCATGCGTGCGCGTAGGCGGCGATGGGAGCTTATCAAACAGTGGGACACACTATTCACGAACTACCGAAGGGACGGGTGGGACAGAGACGAATTTTGTCGTCCTGGGACGACGTGGGCAGTTCATGGTGGAACGTATCAATGCCAATGCGAAGGCAAGTTTTGACGAGCTTTTTTGTGAGATAGGGTCGTGCGCCACTTTTGATGATGATTGGAATATCGGATCAATACGTTCCTACTCAGGCTTGTAGCTGTGCCCACGACCTGAAGAGGCCTTTGGCAGAGATGACCAAGTGACCACAGAGCTGACTTTGCATGTTGTGCAAGTGGCCCACCCAGCATGGGCAAAATTGAGGTGAGCGTATGAGGGCATTTGGTGTGTCATTGGGCGGAAAATTTACAGCACGGAGTACAACGGCCTAATATCACCATACAACGATGCACGCGCCATGACATTTACAAGCCTAGAAATCGGGTCTCATGGCAACTCCGGAGGGATAAAATGATGACCACAGACCTTTTAAGTCGATGCAGGTACTTCATACATCATCGATCATCTCGCGGAAGTGCGATCCCTTGGTAGGCTCAACGCCTTTAGCATCTTCGGCTTCGTTTTGCGCACGACGCCGCGTGATAGCTGGAAGTTGCGTGCATGCCGGGGAGCACACATATCTCTGGGTCCAGAAAAGCCAGTTGCGAGGCAACTGTTGTCCGCAACGTGCGCAATGGCCGGGCGTAATACCTGGAATTGCACGTTGGTACCAAACTCATTACGTCCGCATAGGGTGACTGACGTACCTCGGGCCTCGAGAGCCTCTCTATCCAATCTACTCAACTTCCTTTGGAAGTCGATCATCAGCACGCCGAGAAAGAGCATCAGCGCCAGTAGGCAAAGGCCCAGGATTAGTGAAGCATGTGTGCCTGCAGACATAATCGGTCCCTAATTCGGGGAGAGTACGTTTCTACAGATGGGTGGATTACGCGGAGACGACGGTCGACGGCTGTTCTGCGTGAAAGAGAAGTCCACGGGTCCTCCAATGGTTCTGGGTGCGGCCGCAAATAAGAGAGAATGTTGGCAAGAGATACGCACCTGGCTGTCAAAATTCCAGATGGTTTTGCCTATTTCCAGGCCGATAAGCTATCGGATAAGAGTATCGTGGCGTCGAGATAAGCTGGCGCCTTTGTCAAGTGGCAGTTCCCACAAAGCAACGATAAGCCTATTCAAAGCTATAATGCACTCTAATTACTTACGATAACATGGATAGTAGTTCTGTTGCTGGAAATACGTGATGAACGGAGTTTGCAAACAACAAACATGGCATTACCGAGATCGAGGTAGGATGCGGACTGTACAGATCGCCAAGTGTTCATAAATGCTCTCACTGAAGTCCTCAGGCCTCAGCGCTCAGCATCAAGCTGACAAGCTCTAGGCTTCCAAGTTTCGCAGCGCCAGAGATTTGTGGTAACAGAGGAGCTGCGAGAATTGGTTTGTTTTAGCGTCAGGTCTTCATGTACAAGAGAGAATCGAAAAACCAGATAATTTGACGCCTAGTCTTACGCCTAGGAGTGCTCGCTGCAGACGGGCGCTGATGCGCCGATGTCCCGGCGTCCGAGTTCCCTTCTCTCTTCCTACTCCATGACGTGGGCGACCCAAAGCACGATAACGTTTGCGGATCCGAACCAGGTCCAAGAATTTCGTCCATGGCATTGTCTCTAAATTCGTGCTATGTAGTCGCGCTGGTTTACACATCGGGGCGAGGCGCTGAGGTTGGGGTCGATTTGAAGAAGCGGTCAGTACTTACGCCGATCGGACTCCGAATTGCTATTCCACGTATTGTGCAGCTGGATGTACGCTACGATTGTCTAGACATCTTGATTATTATCTCCAGGGCTTGCTCTTGGGACGCTGATCAAGTAGTGTCCCGAGGGAAGAACTTGAAGGCTTACATCTACGCAACGTCCCCGCGAGGCATCTTCACGTACAACTTCACCCCAGAGAAGCCACAATAATTGGCGAAATGTCTGCTGCATAGTTATAAAAAAAGGTAGTATTTCATCAGTTCTGCACTAGCACGCGTATCGGCACCTATGTTACCGTCTCCGGCGCTCTCGGCACAATGACGGATTCCAATCATGTCATGATGTACGGCAAGAGCTTGGTGCGTTGGCAGTCCCGGCGCCGCAGAATCGACGGCTCATAACGCTCGCAGGTACCCACGAGCTTTACCCACGACTGCGTCGAAAGTTCCAGGATGCCTGAGGGCAGTTATTGCTTACCGAGCTGTTTTCGAAGGCCTCCAAAATGGCGTCACTGGCACATCTTTGATATGAAGCTCTCACTACAAGAGCCGCAACATTGCGACGGCAGCCCGCATCCCCGCGAATCATTTAACTAGATAAATTGTCGCGCACTCTACCACCCGTCCTCGAATAATAGCCATGTCTCTTCCCCTCGCAGGCAAAGTTGCTATTATTACAGGCTCCTCACGCGGCATCGGCGCCGCGATCGCGAAGAGGCTCGCTGCAGATGGCGCATCGGTAGTCATCAACTATGTCAGCTCCGCGGACGTGGCGCAGGTACTCGCGGATGAAATCAACGAGGAAGGCAAGGGCTCCGCTATTACTATCCAAGGAGATATGTCTTCAGTTGTGGAGGGAAATAGAGTCGTCGAGAAGAGCGTAGAGCACTTTGGCAGTCTCGATATCCTCGTGCTTAATGCGGCGTATATGACCCTCCTGCCGCTAGAGAGCGTCACAGAAGAGGAGTTTGATAGGCACTTCATGGTGAATGTCAAGGTTCCGCTCTTCCAGGTCCAGACGGCATCAAAGTACATGAAACCGGGTATGTTCAGGCAGCTCTAGACTCAAGGTCTCAGTAATCATATATTCCATTGTCTTTCAGGTGGTCGGGTGATTTTTGTGTCCTCCAACGTTACCAAGAACTCCAATGTAGGGCCGCAGTCGTTGCTGTATGCTGCGACGAAAGGCGCGCTGGAGCAACTCAACCGTGTGCTTGCGAAGGACCTTGGTGCCAGGGGCATCACCGTCAATGCAATCTCCCCAGGAGTCACTGCAACCCCATTGGCTCTCAGAACATTGGGCCAGGAAGTCCTCGATCACTTTGCCGAGATTCACCCCGCGAAGCGTATCGCACGGCCGGATGATATCGCGCCTATGGTCGCTTTCTTGGCCCGAGAGGAAGCCCGCTGGATAAACGGTCAAAACATCTATATCAACAATGTGAGCTGCGAGCTATTCCGCTTGACATCTGGAGGGTCGCTCATCGTATGCTCGTTAGGGATCCGTAGTATGAGGCACAAAAGAGGGGAAAACAGCCTGGGGGATACTACGGCATAAATGGGATGAGTTTTGGACGACTTCATAGTTGTGACACGCCGTACCCTTTTGCAACCGATCACACGCTGAGGATAGGGGAGATGCCGTTGAAAGCAGACTTCATGATGAGGTTCTATCGCAAAGCCACACACCAAATGCGCGCTTTGAACCGTGAGCCATAAGACGTTTCAAGGGCAGGCAGCATCCTGGCTGGAAGGTTCGAAAAGACCTAGGGGTACTTTCCGTCCTAGTCCTAAACGATGGCACTAACGCAGGACTCAACGCTGAAGCAAGTGAAGATGGCGCTGTTACAAACGGTCTTCCGCCGTGCGAGCAGCAGCGCCGTCTCGGTGATGGAGACCTCGATGCCCTGGGCGGCGAAGGTTAGCAATTTGGTCTGCAAACTCGGGTTACCGACACTGTTGAGGAGCACGCTCACGGACTTGCCAGTGGCATCACTCGACGAGGCTTAAGAGCGACGCTGCACCTGGGCTCGAGAACTTGGTGTTGTAGTCATTGAATTACGGCTTCGTGTTCTGATCTGCTTCAAATGGCATCTAAAGCGGCCATGTACCGTCTGATAAAGGTCTAGAGTGTGACGATAATGCATAAAATTTGATATCGCATTTGCTGCAAGCTATCTTACAATGACACAATTGATCCAAAAGTCGTCAGAGCAGGTATATTCATCGCGGCGTAAGCGTCGTAAGCAAACCAGAAAGAACATCGTTAGAGAGCATGAGCGTTAGTGGGTATCAAGAGAATGACAAGAGGTATATACGAGACGTGACCAAGAGATAGCTTAATGGTGGTAGTACGTCGCCTGCGATCCGTACTCGCTACCAGGAGGTGGTGGATGAACGATTGCGAGCTGAACCGAAGGATCAGCCGAAGGTTGGTTGACAGAGTCGACTTAAAGGAAGATAATTAGCTGTGAAACGACCACGAAAGAGATGCAGCTCACCTTGCCATGATCCCCATGAGGAAACTGGTCGTGATGGATGATGGTAGCTCGGTGCGTGTTGACTGGCTGATAGAGGAGGAGGAGATGGATATAGTTGCTCGGGAGGTACAGGAAGGGGATGACTTGGGGTATCCGCAGCCCTACGGCCACCTTGCGATCTGCCGCGCCAAGCACCTCTCATAGGGACCTCTTCGGGAGCAGCGTCGCCTGAGCTATAATAATACACTCGGGATTAACATGGGAGACGTCATTACAACGATTTGACACATACCCAAGATCTCCGGTTTCGTAGTCGGTCTTGTGACGTCTTAAGATGTCGATTTGACTGCAGGAAAGGTTTAGCGAGATCATTGCAGTATTCACAGGTGACGCGACGTACCGATCGAGCTTCTGCTTCTCCTCTTCCTTCTCCCTGATTTCCTGGAAGAGCTGTAGCATCTCCGGTGCAAGATTCTTGCAGAAATCGGTCAAATACTAGAAGGAGTTAGTTATCAATGAAGAAACCGTACACGGTGCCTCACTCACGTTGTCAGCGTTGAACTCTACTACATCGCGAGCTGTTGCACGGACAGTGCCGAGAAGTTCACTTATGAGGTGCTTTCCATGGGCGTCCCAAGTTTTGCTCAGCTCCTCGATGTACTGTCGAGCAGTGATCAGCTCAGAGATCGTAACAAAATGTCGCTTCACGCACGAAAGAGATATTCAGAGTGACTTGTTCTTGAATGGCCACACGCAGCGCACTCAGGATCTCCGCTTGCTGGGTGGTGCCTAATGATTCTAGCATCGTGCTGAACTCGCCAACACACTGGGAGCAGTTAGCGCCTGCCTTAATCTCACACGGGACAATCCTTACGTTGGTGATCGCTACAGTGGTGTGCTCTTCAATCATCGACTTGATCTGCGCAAGGATCTCTTCATGCTTTTGAGCACCGTCTTCTCTGAGACCTACGAATGATTAGCTACGTCAAAGGCATTTACGCTTTCAGCTGCAACTCACTGTTCTCGAAGGAATCGAGTTGGCCTTGCATGTTGACTTGCAGCTCGTCCTTATGAGCCTCGAGGATACTCTCCATGGCTGCATTTACTGTCAGTACTGATTATGGTGCGGAGGCAGATAAACTCACTTGGCTTCGAGGCGGCTTCAGCCTTCTCGGCCTCGAGCTGTTCCCACCGCATCGCCGCAGTGTCCTCGATCCTGTCAAGGTGGACAGTGATTTCCTGAACCCGGACATCTTGCTGCGCGAATTGCTCGTCAGAGTAGCCCTGCATTTTGGCAAGCTTCTCCTCGATAGACGTGAGTTGGGCAGCATGTGTTTCGGCAATCTGCTGAGCTTCTGCCTTGTCTGCCTCCCTGCGCTCAACGTCCTCGACCTCGCGCTTCTCCCTTTCTTGCTCTCGCTCGGCGCGCAGCGCGGCCAGCTCTTCGGTGAGCTCCTTGATACGGGCGTCGTGACTTTCAGCGATGGCGCGTTCCCGATCGAGCGACGCCTCTGCAGCTACCCGCTCACGCTCCGCCCGCTCGCCATCTTCAGCTACCCGTTGCTGACGCTCCTGATCCTGTTCGTCACGCAGAGACGCCAATTCGTCCTCGAGAGCTTGAATGCGAGCGTCACGTTCCTCCGCAGTTGTCACAAGCCCGACTTCGCGTTCGGTCCAATCGGCCTCTTTCTCCGAGTATTCGGCAAGGACTTGCTGAGCTTCCTCGTGCTGAGCACGAACCGACGCAAGCTCCTCTTCCAGCCCCGCCACACGCTCTTCATGCGCTGCCGTTGCCTCGGCGAGAGATTGCTCAATCTCGGAACTGCGTTCCTGAGCGGCAGCGAGATCTCCCTCCATGGCGGCCACGCGTTCTTCGTGGGCAGCAGAGGCGTCCGCAAGGGATTGCTGGGCCTCTTCATGTTGTTGTCGGCTGGTGTCGAGCTCTTCCTCAAGAGTAGAAATGCGCGCCTCGAGTTCGTTTTCGGCATCAGCGAAAGCTTGCTCTTGTTCTGTCCACGAAGCCTGGTGACTAGCATGCTCGTTGACCAGTCGGTCGTGCTCAGCCATGTACGCGGCCTGAGCAGCGGCAAGCTCCTCTTCTAATGCAGTGATCTGCTCGGACAGGGCCTGCTCACGTTCCGCCGCTTCCGTCTCCAAAGCTTCCTTTTCTGCGGCATGGGTGGCGTCGCGGTCTGCCTGTGTGGCGGCGTACGCCTCCTTCTCTTGCTCAAACGCTGCATTCAGCGACGCAATCTCTTCTTGCAGAGCTTGAACGCGTTCCTCGCCAGCGGCAACTGACGCTACCAACTCCTGCTCGCGATCGGCAGCCACCTGCGCTTGCTCCGCCTGTTCAGCGGCGTGACGCTGCGAGTCTTCCTCGTGTTGCATCTGGAGCGACGAAAGCTCTTCTTCTTTCTCCTTGATGCGCTCTTCGAGTTCGGTGGTGACACGTTCGAGCTCACAACGCGCGTCTTCCTGGAGCTGGTCCTTTTCTGCGTCCCGCTCGGCGATGATGGAGGCGTGTTCATCCTTTGCCTGCTCGTACTCCGAGGTGATAGAAGCCTTTTCCGCTTCCAGGGATTCGATGGCAGCAGCTTTCTCTTCCTCTAGCGTCGCGATGGCGGCAGTCTTCTCTTCCTCAAGGGCAGCGAGCGCTGTAGCTTTCTCTTCCTCGATCGCGGCAACCGCAGCTGTCTTCTCCTCCTCAAGCGCGGCAAGTGCGGCGACCTTCTCTTCCTCGAGCGTGGCGATCGCAGAGGCTTTCTCTTCCTCAAGTGTAGCAATTGCAGTAGCCTTCTCTTCCTCGAGCGCTGCAATTGCGGTGGCTTTCTCTTCCTCGAGCGCGGCGATCGCAGAGGCTTTCTCTTCCTCAAGTGTAGCAATTGCAGTAGCCTTCTCTTCCTCGAGCGCTGCAATTGCGGTGGCTTTCTCTTCCTCGAGCGTTGCAACTGCAGTAGCTTTCTCCTCCTCGAGAGCAACGACGGCTGCGGCCTTTTCGTCAAGTGCAGCGACAGCCAACGCTTTCTCCTCCTCGAGAGCAACGACGGCTGCGGCCTTCTCGTCAAGTGCAGCGATAGCCAACGCTTTCTCTTCTTCGAGTGCGGCGATGGCCGTGGCTTTCTCTTCTTCGAGAGCCGCGATAGCAGCAGCTTTGTCTTCCTCGAGAGCTGCAACAGCTGCGGCCTTCTCCTCCTCGAGTCCAGCGACCACGTTGGCCTTTTCCTCTTCGAGGGCTGTAATAGCCGCAAGCTTTTCCTCTTCGATAGCGGTAATAGCCGCAGCCTTTTCCTCTTCGACAGCGGTAATAGCCGCAGCCTTTTCCTCTTCGAGCGCAAGGAGAGCGGCACCAGCTACTGCCTTTTCCTCTTCGAGTGCAGCGACGATGGCGGCCTTTTCCTCTTCGAGTGCAGCGACGGCAGCGGCCTTTTCCTCTTCAAGTGCAGCGACAGCAGCGGCCTTTTCCTCTTCGAGCGTGACGACGACAGCAGCCTTCTCCTCCTCGAGCACAGCAACGCGCGCTTCACACTCCGCCCTGGTCTCGCCCAGCTCCTGTACGGCCCTCTCCCTCTCCTCGTGCACAGCCACGCGCTCCGCGTCCTCCGCCGCGCGCGCCTCCCTCTCCAGCTCGCGTTCGGCGCGCACACCCGCGAGCTCCTCCTCCAACGCCCAGACGCGCGCATCGCGCTCGGCGTCCGCTGCAGCCCGTGCGGCCTCTTCCTCCGCGTCCGCGCCGTCCGTGCCGTCCGCACCGTCCCGGACCCGCCTCTGCTCGTCCACCCGCGCGTGCAACCCTGCCAGCTCCGCTTCCAGCATCCCGATCCGCGCGTCGCGCTCCGCGATCCCTCGCTCGCGCCCCGCCGCCGTCTCGTCGCGCACACCCTCGGCCTGCGCCCGGTCCGCCTCGGCCTGCGCCCTGTCCGCCTGCGCGGCGTCGCGCAGGCGCGCGCACGCCTCGAGCTGGCGCGCGCATTCCTCGCCCTGCAGTCGCACGATGCCGAGGATCTCTTGCGCCTGCCGGGAGTAGGCCTCGGCTCCTTGCGCGGCGCTGAGGGTGGTCTGGACGGCGAGCCGAAGGTCGTTGGTGGCGTCCAGTATGTGCTGGGCGACGGTTTCGCCGTCTCCCAGAGAGGAGCGGCTGGGACTGGGCGGAAGGGGAACGGAGCGGGGGCTGCCGTTGGACGGGGATGGGACGACGACGACGGTGACCGGAGCGGGTGCCGCTGCCTCTGCGGATGGTTCGTCTGCAGGTGCATCGGCTTGTGTGGAAGCAGAGTCTATAAGGAAACTAGTGAGCTCGGCGAACATGATGCGCACACGGAACAAAACATTACCTGCGGGAGCATCATCAACAGCGGCCGATTCAGGCTGCTCGGGGTCCATGTCGCGCGGAAGCACAGCATCATCTTCTGACGAGGGTTCTGACGCAGGTGATGTTTCCGGTACAGCATCAGCAGCTAGAGTTGGCACGGCAATGTCCACGATTTCAGTCACAGGCGCAGTCGGCGTCGAGGCTTCCGCGGCCGACTCGACAGAAGGCTCATGTGCAAGCTCCTGAGTCTGTGGCTCCGGGGACGGTTCTTGAGGGATGACAGGCGGAGGCGAAGCCGGACGTGGCGTTGACACAGCCGATTCAATAGGTGCAGGCTCGGCAGGGGGGTGTTCAAAGTCTGCAGGAAGGGGGACGTCGCCTACATCAACAGAACGACTCCCGCCGAGGAACGCGGTGTCGGAAGGCGCTGGCGGAACAACTGGTTCTGGCATAGCAATGGGGATGGACGGCATCGGCATCTGCATCGGGGTCGCGGCGAACACAGGTGGGGAAGGAATGACCTCGCTCATGGTGATAGGCATTTGAGACTGCGGCATGGGGAAGGTTGACGCCAGGTGAGGCATGTCCAGCGATGGGAGCGCAAGGTCCGTCGTTGTGCGTAGCGTGGACGGCGTGGAAGAACGACTTGACAGAGAGCTCGAGGAGCCAGAAGACGACGGCATGAAAGGGACGACGGCAGGTTGGGCTGATGGCGGTATTGGTACCTGGGCAGGGGAGATGCCGGTCATGACCGGATAGACCTGGACACTCTGCGGCTGGTACATCCAAGGCTGGGCGAGAGGCGTCAGAAGGGCTCTGCAGATGGTTACCAGACTTACCGTCTGTGCTTGTGGAACAAATCCAGGTGGGAATGCTTGCATCGAAGGTGTTGCGCCTGTGTATTTCGACGCTATCTCCAGGTCTCAGCTACGAAGAAACTCTAGTAAAGGAAACGCACCGAAATCTTGCTTGGAGAGCGATTGGAACATGTCCATCATCTGATCAACCTTGAAACATAGCTCTTTCTGCACGGTGATGCTCTCTTCCCGGCGCCGCTCGCCATCTTCTTGAGCTCGAGTCCACTTTTCCTTGAGATACTGAGATTCCTCGCGGGATTTGCGCAGTTCCTGCCCACAGCATTAAGTACATGTCCAAAAATCGTCCGGGACATGGCGTACCTCGAGAATGAGTGCGAGTTCTGCCGGAGACGACAGCTGAGGGGTAGCCTGTACAAAGGCGTTAGCCTCGGGTGGGCGGCCGTCACATGTCACTTACTGGAGCGGGGCTATCTGGTGGGGTAACAACGTCTCGCGCGAGTTCCGGGGGCGCTTCCGTTGCTGGTTCTTCGTCAATGGATTCAGGTACCGCGTCGGCAGCAGTATCAACCTCGGCTTGTTCGGGCTCCTGCCAACGGCTCAGCAATCGTTTGAGGGAGGCAAGACAGCACTTACAGAGGCTTCTGGGGGAGGTGCGGTATCGTCCTGCTCTGTTTCGAGCTCAACCTCTGCGGCGGGCGCAGGGGCCTCTTCCGCAGGAGCCTCGACGTCGACGACTGGTTCGGGTGCGACAGTGGCGTCTTCGACAGGTTCCGTCCCACATCCAACGTCGATCTTGGCGGGGAGAGGCCTCACAGTCGACGCAGGCGACACCTCTTCGGCGGCCTCGTCGGTTTCTTCGCTCTCCTCCGAGACGCCCGTGGGCGCTAAAGGTGTTGGGACGGGAGCTTCTTGCATTGGAGAAGGCTCGACCACGACGGAGGGCTCAGCCTCGGCGACTGGTTCAGGCGCGGCGGTATCGTCCGCAACAGGCTCCGTCTCGCATGCCACATCGACCCTAGTGGGCAGAGGCTTCACGGTCGATGCAGGGGAGACATCCTCCTCGTCCTCAAGGACTGACGGCGGCGCCATCGGCGAAATGCCTTTTTCGGCTGTCTCAGCCGGCTGATCCGGAGCTGGATCATCGAACTCTTGTACTTGCTCCAAGATTGGCTCTTCCACCTGCGCTTCCAGCCCTTCTTCTGCCGGAGCGTCGACAAGTTCAACTTCCAGAGGCATTGGCGTGGAGGAAAAGACGAGAGGCGAGGTGCCCATCTCGACCCTGGCAGGAACTTGTGGCGTAGCAGCTGCCACGTCAACGTCGGGTCCGGCCGGAACCACCGGCGACACGGCCTTCTCGGTGGTAGACGCCGCAGCGGCCTCTGTGGGCGGGACCATTGGTGACACGGCTTTCTCAGAGGTCGCAGCCGCTTCCTCCTCTTGTGCCTCGACGGCTTCAGGCTCAACGGTCGTCTGCACAGCCGTCGGCGCAGCCAGCTCGTCCTCGAACACCAACGGACTCGTGCCATCGTCCACCTTCTCCACGACCGGGTACCTGACCTGGGTCGCCTCTGCTGGCTCCGCGGGCGGCGCATGGTCCGCCATGAGGTCGGCCAGGGAGCCCTCGAACGGCGACGCCCTCAGCGGGACAGGCATCTCGATCGACTCGTGCGCGCTCCCGCCGCCGCCGACAGGCGCGAGCAGCATGGAGCGCGGTTCCGCGGTCTGCTCGACGACCTGCTCCCGCACGCTCACGCCGACGAGCGATATCGAGTCCGCGGGAGAGACCTCGTCTTCAGGAATGTTGAACCCGGGTATGGTCGCTGGCGGGGACGACAGTCGTCGCCGCCGCCGCTGCTGCTGCCGCGTGGACGCGCGAGACGGTGTGACGCGGATCGCAGTGTGCCTCGACGAGCTCGATCCGGTGTCGGAGAGGACCGAGGATACAGACAGCGGCGACGCCTCTTCGTCCCAGACGCGTTCAACCGAGAGCGCTTCTTGACGGTCTCCCGGACCCTCGCTCGCTTCGTCCGAGTGGTGCGACGACAGGTACGAGCCGACGACGCTCTCGGGCGACGCTGCGCGCTTGCGGGGCGGCGAGAGGAGCGTGATCCGGACGTTGCTCCTGCTCTTGCCCTTGCCCTTGCCTGCGAGGGGCGACGTCGCCATCTGCGCGTCGGCGTACGTCGATATGCGGATGGGCGACAGGGCGCGTTCGACGCCTTTTGTGAGCACGGGCGAGGTGCTCGACTCCATGCGGGCGACGAGGATCGGAGAGGTGGCAAAGTCAACCTTGTGTACTTCCGGGACTTTCGCAGCGTTCGCTTGCGCCTCCCGCAAGAAGGCAAGGAGCTCGCTCTGCCCGCCCTTGATCTCGCCTTGCCCACCCATGATCGCACCCTTGATCTCATTCTGCCCACCCATGATCGCACCCTTGATCTCATTCTGCGCGCCCATAATCGCGTCTTGCGCGCCCCTGATCTCGTCAAAGCTCTTCCCGCCAAAAGAACCCTGTTCCTCAAGATAGACCAAGAGCCGCCCCGTCTCCTCGCTGAGCATCGTCTTGAACGTCGCCGCCAAATTCCTGAACCGCGGCGACAGCTCCTCGAGCGCGACCGTCGAGTTGTCCGCGCCGACGCCCTTGTGCCCGACGGACGGCTCCGCAGACACGGCCACCGAGTGCGCCGAGGGCGACCGCGAGACGAGCACCACCCCGGCCACGTGCGGCGAGACCTGTGTCTCAACCCGTTGAGTCTCCTCCCCCTGCGAACACCCCCACAAAAACGTTTTGCAACTCACCGCGATCTCCACGTACTCCTTCGGCTCGACCCGCTCCACACCGACGCTGCTCGCCGCCCCGTCGTCCAGCATCATCATCGACGGCGCCAGCGCGGACGACGCCATCGACCGCGAGCTCGCCGCATCGCCGGCCGGCCTCGACTCCGACTCCGACTCCTCGGACAGCGTGCTCTCGGTGCCCTCCGACGTCCCGAGCAGGCTCGACGCCTCGCCACCGACGAGCGACGCCGTCCGGGCCGTCGGCGTGCGCGCCCCCGGGTCTTCGTCCTCTTCTAGATCTTCGTCGGTGCCGAGCAGAGACGTGCTGCGCGCCGAGAGCGGCGGCGGCAGCGCTGTCGCCGTCGCCGTCACCGTGGACGCGGGGCGCACCGAGCGCACCGAGCGCGTGCCGGACGAGCGGAGCGACGGCGACGGGTTCAGGACCGAAGAGTCGTACGTCCCGTCCGTCTCTGCGCCCCACGAGGTCGCGACCGAGGGGCTCTTCGGCGGGTCTGTCGGCTCGCTCGGCTCCAGCTGGTGCGCTTCCTCGCGGTGCGACTCGTCGTGCTGCAACTCTTCTTGTGATGGTTCTTCTTGCGGTTCTTCCTGCTGTTGCTCTTGCTGTTGCGGCTCTTCCCGCTGTCGCTCTTCCTGCTGCCCCTCCCCAGCAGACTGCGTCCCCTCCACCTCCGACCCGCCCTCCTCCTCCTCGCCGACAGGCCACGCCGCCTCCGCGAGCCGCGCGCTCACAGCATCGAGCACCGCCGGCGTCGGCATCACGTCGTGCGGCGCGCGCGCGCGCTCCTCCTCGTCTTCCCCGTCCTCTTCCTCCTCCGCGTCCGACGGCGGCAGCTGCGTGAGCTCGGGGCCCGAGAGCGACAGCGACGACAGCACGTCGGACGACCCCGACGTCAGCTCTGACGCCATGGCCTCCTCCGACTCTTCCTCCTCCTTCTCCGACGCCTCTTCCTCCTCCTTCTCCGACTCCTCTTCCAGTCCTGAGGTCGACGGCGCCGGCAGCGCTTGCGAGACCGCGGACGGCGTGTAGACGGACGGCGGGAGGGCCACCTGTGCGGCGCGTCCCACCACGGGGTCGTGCACGCTCGCGGCGGCCACTTCAGATGCGGCGCCGACCGACGACGCTTCCGAGGACACCGCGGACTCTGCGGGCGGGGGCGGCACTGGCTCGGGCACGGGCACAGGTTCGGGCGTCTCGATCCCCTCTTCGACCTCCTCGTCGCCGTGGTCAGGCACCTCCGTGTCCTCCTCGACCTCCTCCTCCTCGTCGACCTCGACACCCCCAACCGTGCTCGCAGCGCGCGTCAAGATCTGGTCGCCGTCCCACACGACAGCCGCGCCGTAGTACCCGCGGCGGCTCGACCGGCCCCCAACACTCTTCGCCCCGTCGTCATCGCCGTCGTCGTCGCGGAAAAGCTCGTCCGGGAGCTCGTCGTTCGGGTCGAGCGACACAAAGGACGCGTCCGGGCTCGGCGCCGTCGCGTACTCGCTCTCGTCCTGCGACACATCTGCCGCGGCGGCGGCGGCGGCGGCATGGTACGAACGGGACAGACCAGCGCGACTCGACGCTCCTCCCCCCGTCGCATGTGGCGCCACGGCGCCCGCGCGCGGGTAGTAGTCGCCCAGCTGGCGGAAGTCCGCCTGCGTGACCGTCGCGCGGCTGCGCCCCGTCTCGTGCGGCTCGATCGCGTCCCCGTACACCTCCTCCTCCGCCTCCGCCTCCCGCGCCTCCTGCAACGATGACGAGCTGCGGCACGAGTCGCCGAGCAGCGAGCGCTCCCCGGACGCGCGGAGCGAGAGCGTCGACGCGACGACGTCCGTGCCCGTGCTCGACCCGAGCGCAAAGAGCGTGCGCGCGCTCGCGCGCGAGAGCAGCGACGAGAGCGTGTTGTCGCCGTCTGTGCGGCGCGACGATGAGGAGGAGAACGCGCTGCTGCTCTGGGTCTGGGACGCGTCCGTGGGACGCGAGAGCGACGTCGTGGCGCCCCCGTCGCCGAGCGCGCTCGACACCTCGGAGCGCGCCTGCGCGTTCCGGGCGCGCCAGTTGCTGACGGTCGCGCCGAGGGGCGGCGTGGTGCTGCGGCGCGCGATGGCGTCGGCGCGGAGCGGGGCGACGCGCGGGCTGCTCGAGATGTAGATCGTCGAGCGCGAGCCGACCTGGACGTCCGACGCAGACTCTTCTGTTGTCTCGTCTTCTTCTTCGTCGGGGAGGGCGCGCCGGCGAGCGGGTGGTATTGCTGCTGCTCGAATGGGGACTCCCCGTCGGCGTCGGCGTCTTCTTCTTCGTCTTCGTGCGCGTGTTGGAGTGAGCCTGACGAGAGCGACATGTTGCCCGCGAACACCGTCCTGGCGTGGGATGAGCAAAAAAAAAAAAATCTCGATAGCGCAACCGCACACTCACTGGATCGCATCAAACCACGCGCCCATCTCGACCCTCGTCTCCGCCCCGAGCCGCTCGATGCTGTCGCTGTACCCGAGCTCAAACGTCACGAGCCGCACGCTCTCGACCGCACCCGTGTCCTCGCGCACGACGTCGACGCGCACGTCGCGCTCGGCGCCGCTCGGGCGCACGGCGCGCACCTCGACGCACGACAGCAGGTCGAGCTTGACCTCCGCGACGAGCCCTGCTGCGGCCCCGGACGCGGCGCGCTCGGGCCAGCGCACGACGAGCATGTGCGCGAAGAGCTGCGCGTGCCCGCGCTCCCACGTGTAGTCTGTCAGCCGGTGCACGTTGTAGTACCATACCGGTGCTTCGTAGATTGGCTGCGTCGCAAAAGGGAGCAGGGGAGGAGGAGGGGGGGAAAGTTGGGTGTCAGCGTACACACATCCGAGGAGAAAAAAAATGGGGCGAAAAGACGGACCTCCTGAGAGTACCCCGCATGCTCGAGCGCCACGAGGTCCGCCTCGTCCGACGTCCCCTCGCTGGCGGCAACAGCGCGCCTTCCGCGCGCCCTACTCCCACTCCTTGCGCGCGGGCTCCTGCTGCGCGTGCGCCGCTGCCCCGCGCCGCCGCCAAACGGCGACCGGCCGCTGCGGCTCGTGCTGCGACTGCGACTGCGACTGCGGCTCCGCGTTCTCGTGTACGTCCTGGTCGGCGAGGCCGACGTGCGCGTCCGGGCCGAGGTCGAGTACGCCGAGGAGCGCGAGCCAGAGAGGCCCACGAAGCCGCTGATGGCGTTCAAGATCCCCCCTCCTCCTCCTCCGCCTCCTCCTCCGCCGCCGCCGCTGCGGGCGCCGTACGACCAACCCGAGAGCGCAGACTTGCCGGGGCTGCTGCCGCGCGAGCGCGTCGTCGTCGTTGTAGCGGAACGCGTGCGCGTGTGCGGGGACGTCGACACCGGCGAACGCGAGCGCGTCTGATTCGATCCGGAGCCGCCGCTCCCGAAGCTCCACGCAGAGACCTCGCTCTGGGTGCCGTCGCTGCGCGTGCGCGCGTCCGAGGACGATGGCCCGCCGCGCGTGCTGCGCGACAGCGCGCCGGGCATGCCGAGCGTCGCGGTGCTCACCGTCGGCGGTTTCGTCGGTGAGGCGGGGTAGTAGAACTGCGCCTCTGATGTCGACGGCGGGACGGACGCCGTACGGGCGTGGAAGGTCGGGTACGTCGGGCTCGCGAACGGGTGCGGCGACGACGCGCGCTGGACCGCGGCGCGCGACTCGTACATCGCGATGAGCTCGCCGGCGGTGCGCCGGGAGAGGCTGCCGGTGCTCGTGCTCGCGCTGGCGGTTGTCGGGTGGGTGTGCAGCTGGGAGGAGGACAGCGTGGAGGTGTAGGGCGCGGACGAGGCAGAGTGGCGCGCGAGGGAGCCCTGGGAGTGGTCGGAGAGGGACTGGGAGGGCCCCGTGCGGGAGTGGGAAGCGGTGCTGATGGGCGTGAAGGTGCTGTTCGTGAAGCCCTGGGTGCGCGAGGGGATGGAGGTCGATACTGGGGTGGAGGATGTGGTGTAAGGGTCGGTGGATGAGCGGACGTGGTAGGAGGTGGATGGGATGCTGGTAGAGGGATACGAGTTGTGTTCACGTTCGGTGATGCTGCCTGAGCTTCGGGAGTAGGAGTCGTGGCGGCCATAGGTCCGAGAGGACCCAGTGAGTTGGGAAGAGCCGTCATGGAAAGCCATGGTCGTCTCGAGGGGGTCGTGCTCGACGGAGGCGCCGTCGCTCACGCACGACGAGTTTTCAGACTGGTCTAAATCATGCGTTGGGTCAGAGAGCGAGGGACAGCGAACAGGACACGCACTTCTTCGGGACTCTTGCCATAATGAGGTGAGGGCGGTGGCTGTAAAGGTCGAGAAGGATGCTGTGCCAAAGATGGGGCTTTGTGGACCAGCGGTGGACTCGGATGCGTCTGATCGCTGCATGGTAGAGCCTAAAGCGAGAGCAAAAGCATAAATGAGAAGCAGAAACTGGATGAGAGGGGCCGTCGTGAGTTGTCGTCGAGGTCTTGAAGAGCACTGGGCGATGTCGGCGGGCTCGGGAGAGCGATAAGGGGCGAGAGCCAGAGCGCGGCGGTCGACGTCGGTGTCGGTGGTTCGAGTTCAGTTTCGGCGCCAGCGATATTGAACAGGGTCGTGTGAACCGTGTTCTGGCACGTGACCGTGTTTGATTCGCGCCCGTGTCCCGGCGCTCGTGCTAGCTTGAGCCGGACGACACCTCGACTTGTTTGGCGAACACCCCGTTGTCGAAGAGTGCCAATGAGGTCCAATTGGATCACCAAATAATTCCTCCAGCTCCATGCAAGACAGCAGCATATAGAGTGCCGGGCCCGGCCAGCACTACTATCATCAACGGCGACGAGTTCTCTTGGTCAACGCGTATGTGCTCGACTGCAAGCAGTGTTTGATGGCTCGGATATTCCTAAATTCATCCTGCGCCTCGCCGCACCCAGTCGTCGCTTCGCAGCCGGTAGAGGCCGCGAGCATGACGAGGCGCGCCAGACACTATACAACCGCACGCCGCACGACGCCCCGCCCGCACCGTGCACCGCATCCGTGTCGCGCCCCATAACCGTATTCCTCGTCAGTGACCTCTGGGGCAATTGGGGAGTGCTATCAGAGCCGTCGCTGCAGCTGTAGTCGCTCTCTGGCTGTGTCCATCAATGCAGAACCCCGCGGAGCCCGCAGCAAGGGGCGAGCGCACACCTCGACTTCGCCAGATTTCGGCAGGATATTTTCTGCAACGAGCTCAACTTTTACTTG